TTAGTATGAGATTGTGGGAATAAACACAAAAGGAAGGGTTATGGTTTGACAGTGATACGCTGGTGTGTCCTAGTGAGATTTTTCCTGACACAAAACAAATCATCTTCAGTTGAGAAAAAAATGCCCCCATCATCTTGACTGTGTGGAAGTAATTAATTTAAAACACTGTCGCCGGGCGGTGGTGGTGCACACCTTTAATCCCAGCACTCGGGAGGCAGAGGCAGGCGGATCTCTGTGAGTTCGAGGCCGGGCTGGACCGATAGCCTCCAAAACAATACAGAGAAACCCTGTCTCGTAAAAAACAAAAAACAAACAACAACAACAAAGAAAAACCACTGTCATTACTTTTATATGTGTGGCTGTTTCGCCCGTATCTATGTCAGTGCAACCACACAAATGCAAAGCCTGCAGAGGCCAGAAGGGAGTGTCATATCCCAGCCACCACGTGGGCACTGGAAGTCAAACTCGGGTCTTCTAGAAGAGCAGCCAAAGCTCTGAACCACCCTGGGGTATGTTATTAATGACTGATGTGGAAGGGTCCACCTCACCCCTGAGCTGATGGTCCCAGGTTGTATAAGAAAGCCGGTTGAGCAAGCCGTGAAGAACGAGTCAGTAAACAGTATTCCTCCATGGCTTCTGTTTCAGGCCCTGCCCCCAGGTTCTCGCCTTGAGTTCCTGCCCTCATCGATGAACTGCTACCTGGAAGTAAGACGAGATAAACCGTTTGCTCTCCAAGATGCTTTTATGCCAGGAATAGAGACTTAACTGGGACACACTGTTAGCTACATCTCTGCCCTCTATCGTTGATGTGTGTTCGTGTGTGTGCTCATGAATTCAGAGGCGAGTAGACAATCTTAGGTGTGTTCCTCCCCCCCTTTTTTCCGTCAAGACAGGGTTTCTCATTGGTCAGGAATCTGCCAAATAGGCTAGGCTTCTCCAGCACCTTCTCTATTTGGAAATAGGCTCTTTGTTGTTTGACCAGACTGGCCTTGATTTCATGATCCTCCTGCCTCAGATCCCCAAGTAGCTGGTATTACAAGCCTGTGCCTAAAGACCCAGCATAAAAGTCACTTCTGTTCCTCTCCGAGTGGACCATTTCCTGTGCTGCAGTGTGCAGAGGCGGCATCAAACCACAGCTGGAACTCCGACTCAACAGGAAGTCCCAAGCTCACACCTTAGCTTTGACACCTACCAATGGTACAAATAGGCAATCTGCCTCTGAACCCCAAGTTCCCTCATGACAATGCAGATATGCTCCCCTGAACCCCTGCCCCCACAGGTCAAACCTAAGAACAGCTGACCTTCTTCCCCTGGCCAGGAAACTTCATGTCACCTTTGATACGTTGTGCTGTGAACGCTTTGTGGCTCTGGGAATACTTCCTCTTCACCAAGCATGCAAAGCTCCCATAGGCAGCTTCAAGCCCTGGGACGTTCATATCAGTCATTATTTCTACTTTTCAGACCTAGAGCTCTTGATCAGCTCTGCTGCTAATGGAGCAGTCAGGCCTGCTTGCAGACCACATGGTCCCTGCAGGAGTTCCCTGCATGGGGTATACAGGTAGTCATCTTGCTAGGTGCAGAACACTGGTGAATATATGTCACTGTGCCAGACATATATTGGGGGGGGTCACTGTCATTTATGTTGCAAAGTCTGTTTGGAAAGACATCTGACTCCTTACTAGGTTTAGTGACCTGACTTGTATTCCTACTGCACTTCCTAGTAACAGGATGTACACACACACACACACACACACACACACACACACACACACACACACACACACACACATGCCACCTATGAGCCAGCACACTGACTGAAAGTGAAGCTGTTGATACAAGGGTTAATCAAGCATGTGAATGTCTTCGTTATTAGGGCAGCATGTGGCCTTTCTCTGGGAGAGTCGGCAGGCATCTGACTCTGATCCCTAGAGGCTGCGGTTCTGTGTGTTTTGTTTTGTTTTAAAAGCTCTGGCTACACAAATACTGTCTTTGACTTTGTGTGCTATGGCCCATCTGGAGGAAGCCCTGCACAGACAGAAAGCAAGTGGGCAGCACTGGAGACAGAGCCTCAGGCCCTCCAACGGGGAACAGTGCCAGCCAAGGCCATGCCAGGGACTATATCCATATTCTGAATTCAGAAACTTGTTGCAAAAATCCTGCTCAAGAAATCTTGAGGAAGGCTTCAACAGGTAAAGATTACATTAATTAAATGGGTGACTTAAAAATATTACATGAATATAATCAAAACACATTATGTGCATGTACAGAATGTCACAGGGAAGCCCATTGTATGTAATTATTATATGCTAATACAGGTTCTAAAATATTACATAAGATACTTTCAGAAGCATGATAATAGTTCCAAATGCTATGCTTGTTAACACATCACAAAGTATATCAGCTTACCCAATTTTATTCCTTTACATTTTATTTTATCTTATGTTTTGGAGACAGGGTCTCACTAAGTAGCTCTGGCTGGCCTAGAACTCACTTTATAGACCAGGCTGGCCCTGGACTCATACAGATCTGCTTGACTCTGACTCCCAAGTGCTGGGATTAAAGTGTATACCACCACACCCAACTGACTACTTTAAATTTTAATTTCAAAAGATAGTTTATCCTTCCTACTACTTTGAGTATTTTCTCATTTTTTGTCTATATGAACACTCAATTGTACTTTTAGATTCTAATTATTCTATATTTAAACCTCTAAAATAAGTTAACTTATTCCCACTTCCTAGCCATTCTTATTGGAGCTATGCCAGGATTAATTTCAGATCTAACAATCAATTGTGCACTTGGAAGGATATAGCTAAATGCTGTGTGATGTTCTGGGCCCATAGCACCCTTTAAAAAAATGGACAAAGCCACAACACTGTGTGAAGAATAATGTTTCTTACTGAGTTTAAGAAAAAAAAAAAGATAGATGAGCCTGAGTTTTCTCAACCTCAAACTTGCCATGATTTGATGAATCACCCAGATTCTTTAAAAGTAGAATTAAAACAAATGCTTGCAGGAAAGTTCCACAAAGGCAGAACGCAGTTTTCCTTACATCATTTCCAGCAATAGCTGGAACATTTCTCTTACATTTTGGGAAACTTTTGGAGTACCAAGTACATATGACACAGCAATCGTTCACAAGGTAGCTTCACGTGGATGCGTCTCACACTCCCACCTCCAGCTTTCCCCAAAGCTTAGAAGGTTCAAACACAAACACAAAAACAATAATCCTGTTGGTTTTGCACTGGGCCCTTTTGTTTCCCTGGCTCTGTGGATCCAGAGCAAGGAAATAGCAGGGCCCTGCTTTCTGCTCCAAGCTCCTCACTGGGCTTATTCTTCTGGAAGGTTTTACTGACTTCCTAATGAAAACAAATATTTGGATGGAATTTGGTGTGGCGCAAGAATAATAAAATGTGATGCATGCGTGTGAAATACTTGCAACCTACAACGATTTGCCAAACGGGGATTTCTGGACTCAAGACATTCAACTTGGGCCAATGATTTGACCTGCACGACAGGTCCTCGTCTCTGGCACAGAAGAGCCATTATTTGTAGCTCTTCGCCTTCTCCGACTGAGGAGCTTGCTTGGTTCTGGAACCCAGTCCCAGGTTCTTCTGATAGACATGAACAGTAACTTTCATAATATTAATGACCATCAGCTGAGTGTGCCAGGTACTTCATGCTACGCGACATATATTTCTGCCACTATATATGCGTGTGTAAAGTCATGTACTACTCAGACAAACCCAAGTGGGGGCATGAGAAATTTGAGCCTGGCTTGGAGATGCTGTGGCTCCCAGGCTGGGCAGCGGCATCCCGCAGGGTGGGAAAGCAGTTGATTCTTGCTGTGTTGACTGCTGGGCACACAGGAGCTTTTGTCTTTTCACCTACTTCCTCCAGAACACAGACCCCGCATTCTCCTCCATGGTCATTGGGCATTGTAACCAGCCTCATGAGCAGCTTGGCGGTGGGGCCTTTATATGAGAAACAATGCCTGTCTTTCCTCCTGCAAATACCAAGCAAGGGCAACCTCTTCCTCCAACTGGTCAGAGCCAGCGGCTCCCTGAATGTGTAGGAGGTGGGGGCCAAAGGTAGGGAAGCTCCGAGGAACCGGAAATGATGGCGGCAAAGGTGGCAGAGGCTCTGGATAGCCAAAGAAAGCTGCTTGCTGGACCCAAATCAATCACCTGGATAGAAAAATGCTGGCCCCGCATGAAAAAAAGTCCCTTTTCCAACATGACAGTCCTGGATCCTGTCGTCTGGGAGCCTGAGAGCCAACTCCCCCAATTCCTTGGGTCAGCCTGGCCTCACTACTCAAGGCCACATGGGTTCCTTTGACATCCAGACATGCTGTAGAACAAAGCGGGACCTGAACCTTCATCGCTAGCTCCCCACCATCCCCAGATGCACAGACTGAACGGGAGTCAGCTCTCAACAGCTCATGAGCACTAGTCGTGGGATGACTCTTTGCTGTGAGGGTAAGAGAGAGACCCTTCACCCTTGACAAGGTATTTTTCCCCGAGGTGCAACAGTTACTGATTTCCTGCATGCTGGTCCTCGAATACACTGGGCTCAGAGGAGCCCAGGTATAACCATTGACCAGCACCAACATCCACCATGTGTCATACCTCTGGGAGGGGCCAGGAAGCTGGCGGGCAGGCAAGATGCTCAGTCCTCCTTGGAAGCCAGCCATGGCCACACTGTCCCCTGCACTCGGCACTAGATGCTTCCAGGTCTTGGCTGCACTTCTGCTTTAAAAAAAAAAATCAATTCATCCCTGTCTCGTTCCTCTTTCCACATCCCATCTTTGCCTTTGGAGTCACATCAATATTCACGGACTAATACTTTTAAAAGCACACAAAGAGCTGACTCCACACTTCCTGCCCAGCAGGCTCATTTTCTTTCTAGATCATACTCAGTTGTGGCTGCCCAGTGAATCCCCAGGGTATGCAGTCAATGGAGCCCTGTATGCAGGCTGGCCGTCCGACACCTCCCTACCCTTGGCCCCCATTGGCAGCCTCGGCCTGCAGTGGACTGCGCCAAGCCCACACCCAGTCCTCTCTGGAGGAGGAATAAGAAGCTGCTCTGCCCACACTCCTGCCACTCGGACACTGAAGCCAGAGAGGACACCAGCAGCAAACGGTAACCAGGAGGTGAGAAATAGCCACTGGCAGAGGACTCAAGAAAAACCACTCTCTTTCTCTTTCCTTGGAGGGTGAGGGGTGGAGGGGAGAGGATGGAAATTGAGCTTTAAAATGGGGGTGGGGGGGGAGCTTTGGGGACATTTGGCAGTATATTTCAAAGCTGCCGGTGACATTCTGTGATTTAAGTCTGACTCTACTGTTTTCTTGTGACTGCTGTTGACATTGTCATTGTCTTGGGTTTTATTTTCATCACGGCAGGGTGGGGGGACCTTAGGTCATTTTGAGTGATCCAGAATGACTACTGGCGTTTTCAGAGGTGGGCCCTACACTGCTTCTTTTCTAACTCTGAAGGGAAGGTTTGTCCTTCCTGGTGTACCTTACCCCCAATCCTCAACCGGAGCTCTCCCAGCAACCTCTCCCCTCCGCTCTCCCCCACTCCTGTGGCCCCGAAGCACCCCTGCTGGCATTTCTAGTTTTTCTATTTGAAATGCCAAGCTCCTACATCTCCAGAGACCACTTAAAAAAATAGTGCAAAAGAGTTGAGTCTTTTCAAATAATTAGGAGTTGGGGTAAAGAAACAGGGTTAGGACCTCTTAACTTACAGGTAGCACCCTTCCCAGGAGCTCACGCCATGTGCTGTCTTTACAGAAGACTAATGCATAATGTTCACACGGGCGTTTGCTTCATTTGTCTTAGATGAAAGGAAGAACGGGGAAATTTGAACTTGCAATGTGGTTATGAAAACAGTCAAATTTTAGCATATATGTGTCACACCTTTTTAAGTCCTAACCCTATTCACAAAAAGACCCTCTAGCCCCTCCCACCCCCAGCCAGGACTTTGAGATTTGTCAATGTCATTGTCTTGGAGTTTCTCGAGATTTTTTTTTAAATCAATAACTGTGCTGGGTATGGGCCAACAGTTAGGGAGCAGAGAGGCAAGATCATGACTGAGAGGAGATCATCACTGATGGGTGTCAGTGAAACCTTAATCTTAAAAACAAGCCATTCTGTTACTGCCCTCCCCACGGAGCCTTACAGGGCACTAAACTATTTTCTTTCATAAAATAAAAGAAAAAAAAAAAGCACCAGGGGCTGGAGAGATAGCGCCCATATGCAGTTCACAACTGCCTGTAGTTCTAGTCCCAGGAGATATGTCGCCCTCTCCCGCCCCCTGCAGGCCCCAGGAGAAACGTCGCCCTCTCCTGCCCCCTGCAGGCACCAGGCTTGCACACATTCGAGACATACATGCAGGCAAACCACCCATACACAGTTGTTTTTTTTTTAACAAAACCATAACTGAGAAAAGTGAAGAAACTAAAAGAGAATAAAATATTACATTTCAGTCCATCTGGATACTTCTGCTTACATGAGGTCCTTCAAGTGTCTTTGGAACATATGAACAAAACAAAGTCCCCCTGCTTCGTAGAACTTCAGCAAACCAAAGAGTAAGGGGGGGGGAGCAAAAACAGAAACCTTCAATCTGTTCCCTTGGGGAGGTCATTAATTAAAAAAACCTCTTAAAGGTTACTAAAATTCTTTTCTAGATGATTCTAAGATGTGGGAATGAGTTTTTAAGCATTTTTTTGTTGTTTATTTTTAATCATGACAGTGCAGGTTCTGATTTAGGGACCAGAACTCACGGCCAGGGGCAGTCACGCGTCTCTGCCTAAGTGGCTGTTTTCTGAAGCGAGCCTCAAGCCGCCTTTGTTAACTGAGCGGCTCAGAGCCGCCCTCCAGCATGCCCTCTTCAGGCCCTGAAGGAGGCTCTTTTTGCTTCTCGCTGGCACCCTGCTCACAAAGACACCACTGTGCCGAGGCCAGGCTAATGAATACGAGGCGTGGAATGCCTGGCTGTGCCTTGGTCTCCCTGTGTCAAGACACTAGCAGAATCAGATGTTTCTGGAAGGTCATTTCACTGCGACTTTTCAAAAAAGTTGGTGCAGTGTTACCTTTATTTTCCAGACGGGTTTTACGGTTTTTACATTTGACACCTATCAAAAAAATCTCACTCATATTTTTTATTTTTATTTTTTAAGTTTTTAAATGTTTGTTTATTATAGGGAATTTTCTACATATAAATGGCATTTTAATTACACTCCCAACACACCTGACTGTTCATTTCTGGTGTCCCTTTCTTTGGTTGTCCGCCCCCCCTTCTTAATAAACAACTGAGTTAGTGCTGTCCAAATGTGTGTGGCCATTCACAGGATGATGGAAAACATACCAGTGGCCACATTCCTCATGTTTATTTAAACAGCTTAAATTTATACATGAATTCAAATGAAAATAAGCTCCTTGTCTTAGTTAGGGTTCTGTTGCTGTGATGGAACACCATGACCAAAGGCAAGTTGGGGTGGAAAGGGTTTATTCGGCTCCTGCATCACAGTTCATTACTGCAAGAAGTCAAGCTGAGCAGGAACCTGGAGGCAGGAGATGATGCAGGGGCCATGGAGGGGAGCTGCTGTTGTTTGGCATGCTTTCTTATGGAACCCAGGACCACCAGCTGAGGGATGGAACCACCCAGAATGGGCTGGACCCTCCCCCATCAATCACTAATTAAGAAATTGCTCTACAGCGGTTCTTATGGAGGTCTTTTCTTAGTTGAGGCCCCCTCCTCTGAGATAGGACTTTCTTTAGCTTGTGTCAAGCTGATATAGAACCAGCCAGGCCATTCCTGTTCTTGGTCCTCGGAATCTTTTGGAAGCACCTGCATTTTTCCTCCTAACCCGAGGATGCTGTTTAGTGAATTTAAAAATTGTTCTCTGATGTTGATTTTCTATATTTACTTGCCACTAGTCATCTTAGTGTCCTCCCTAAATCCACCAGTGGATGCTACATCCTGAAGACCTCCAGGATTGGGGGTGGCCACCAGGGAAAGCTGGAATCATTCCCTGGTGCTGTGTATCAGCACCTTTGCTAGTTTCTCATTGACCAAATGCAACCAGAAGTCAATCATCTCGGAAACTTAACCCTGCGGCCTACAGGGACATAGAAGGGAGGTGGTGGGCCTAGAAGGCAGAGGATGAACTGTGGTCAGTGTGGAGTCACAGGATGCCTCTCCCGGCCAGGTATCTCTTCCTGTCATATGGGCTGAGGTATTAAACTCTTCAAAGAACAGGGTGGAAACTCTGAAAAGGTGTCTTTCTTCTGCAGCGTCCAGGATGTCTGAGCTGGAGAAGGCCATGGTTGCCCTCATTGATATCTTCCATCAGTATTCAGGACGAGAGGGTGACAAACACAAGCTGAAGAAATCGGAACTCAAGGAGCTCATCAACAACGAGCTCTCCCACTTCCTGGAGGTAAGCCTTACAAAAGCATCGCTGTTCTGCACTAGAAATGGTTCCCTGGTTTGCTTCTGTCTGTTTCTGTCCCTGGATGCCCTGGGTTGCTTCTGGAAGCTTGTTCAAACATCTAAGCCCTCAAAGGATAAGCTTAGATGAGCTGTTCCTGTCCCTTGAATCTAAGGATCCACAGGCAATGGCAGAATGGAATAGTACGCCGCTCACGACTAACACTTAGGAACTGTCAGCTGGCCATGGGGTTGCACATCTGTAATCCTAGGACCACACAGGTGGAAGCAGGAGACCAGGGAAAGCATCTCTCATCACAAAGACAAAACAGGGCCAGGGAGATGGCTTAGCAGCCACCAAGCCCTGATGATCTGAGTTTGATCCCTGGGATTCACATGACAGAAGGAGAAAACCAACTCCACATATATACCGTGGCATGAGAGAGTATGTTTATACATACATACACCACTTTTAAAAAAAAGAATGATGTGTTTTTGGGGTAAAAAATATCGTTTGGCTTTTGTCCAGCTGTCTGGTATTCACTACAGAGGTAAGAAATGCCAGACATCAAATAAACATTTCCTGACCACTCAATAATTCAACACTTGAGAGACACAGCCCAACCTAGCACATCCATGAGTGAACACTTGACTGAGGGAAGGAGGGGTCTCCCCAGAATATATAACATTGACCAGGCATAAGCTTAGTTGGGGTCCACTTAGGAAGTTGCACAGGGGCTCCTGGAAGCCCTGTTCTTCCCTGGTACTTAACATCCTGGTGGTGGAAGCACTCATTCCCCACCGTCTCCTCTGCCCTCAGATCGGCTGTTAGCATTTCTACTGCCCATACACCAAGTGCTCCCGTGCGAGTGAACTGTAGTCCATCTGCCACCCAATGCTCCCTTGGCCCCTACACCAAGGCTGGCTCACGGCACACCTTGAATGAGATGGAAATACCAGAGGCATACAACACGCCCTGCCACAGGACGCTTCCTGGGCCATGGAAGTAGCAAACCACACGTTCAGAGGAAAACTAATCAGTGTTTGGTCAAGTGACACACCTAGGTATAACCGTAGGGCACAGCCCTGTCACGTGGTAACAGGAAGCCACAGCCCAAGTCAACTGGGTACACGTTGGTATTTAGTGGCTGGACGTCTGGCTGAACTCTTCCTTCCTCCTGTTCAGTCAGTTACTTCACTGCTGTAGAGACAGCAGGGCCACGGGCTTGCTGGAGAAGTCTCTGAATCTGCTTTGGGGAACCAATTTCTCAGGCATTCAGATTCCCGGAGTGACAGCTACTCCACTTGCATAATCAGTTAGAGTCCCGCCCGTTCTGCCTTTCGACTTAACCGCCTTTAAAGGGGAGTGCACGGGATGAGGTGAGCATGTCTGGCTCTTCACGTAGAGGATGGAAGCTCTATTAGGTAGTGACTTAAAACACCCGCTACCACCATGATGTTAGAACAGGAAAAAAAGAAGCATAGGATGTCACATTTACTAATGATAGCTCATGTTACAATATCGAGGCATCATACATGTGTGTCGGCCTGGTTTAACAAAAGCACTAGAGAAAAATCAACTCAAAGGAGGGAAGGTTTATTCGGCTAATGGTTCCAGCCCATGGTTGTCAGGCTCCACCATTTGGGGGCCTTTGGTGAGGTCAACCATCAAAGCTGCTCGCCCGGCGGAGGCAAAGAAAGGCAGGGCACGGCCTCACCTCCTCACAAAGGTTCTGCCACCTCCCGGTGGTGCCAGCGGTGGGCACCAAGCCTCCTACACATGAGCCTCTGGAGGACACGTAGGATCAAAGCCACAGCCCCTGTGGAGTAAGTAAAAGAACTACACTGTGCCATCTGTATTTTGGGAGGTATTTAAAAGTCCTCATGAGCCCCTTGGATTCACCATCTTTCACACCTGATTCTTTTGTATTTAGGGAAGCACGTTACTTCTTCACAGAGTTCTCCTGGCGGGGAGGGGGTGGGGGAGTCGTTAATTGAACCGGTCAGAACTGAAATCTTCAATGCTCAGAGTCTACATCCTCCCCACCTGTCCAAAGGCCTGCAAGCTCTTGGTGCATCAGTAGCCTGACCTTTGTTCTGGTTGGTGTGTCAGTCAGTGGTAGCCTCACCACCCATCAGGCTTCGGTGTCAGACTGTTAGGAAAAAGCATACGACCTGTAGAAAATAAGTCAAGATGACAACGAAAACAGAACAAATAGCAGCTCTGACACATTCCCAAGTGTCATTTTAGTGAACGTTAAAATCCACATGGCTCCCAAACACACATGCTCAAGAGCACTGAGTTCATTTTTTTAAAAGATTATTTATTATGTATATAGCGTTCTGTCTGCAAGTATGCTTGCACACCAGAAGAGGGCACCAGATCTCATTACAGATGGTTGTGAGCCACCATGTGGGTGCTGGGAATTGAACTCGGGACCTCTGGAAGACCAGCCAGTGCTCTTAGCCTCTGAGCCATCTCTCCCGTCTGAGTTCATTTCTTATGTCACTGACTCAGGTTGAGAAGGGAGTCACACATGTTCTGGGTGCGGTTTGTCACTTCTTGTTTGTTTCCCTATTTTAAAGTAACCAGAGGCAAGAGGAGAGGCACAGACTCTGCCCCACTTTCCCGTGGCTGACTGCCTCTTACTCACAGAGGACTGCTAGAATTTTTCATATCCTGTATTGGGATTCTTTTTCCTGATGGAAATTATCAGCCTGTTACTTTTAATAACATCTTGATAGCCCTGCATCCCATCTAAAAAGGGCTTCATCAAATCTTCTTTTCTTTCTCTCCCTCAGGAAATCAAAGAGCAGGAAGTCGTGGACAGAGTCATGGAAACGCTGGATGAAGATGGGGATGGAGAATGTGACTTCCAGGAATTTATGGCCTTCGTCTCCATGGTGACGACAGCTTGCCATGAGTTCTTTGAACATGAGTGAGACAAAAAAAAAAAAAAAAAAAAAAGGAGCCAATCTGTTCCTGTGGCAGACATGAAGATCATGAGAGGAAACAGAGTGAAGGCTTGCAGGCTCGAAGGAGCTGAGCTCTCTAGCCACATGTAATTACTTAGGAAGCTTGATTTGCTTGGGATATGAGAAACTGGGAGTCTTCCCAAGGGCTGCTTTAAATCCACACATCATTATTTCTGCTACATTAGGCATCCCTGCGAGCTGTCGGGGCCCAGGAAGTGTTGGCTAAGGATCACTTAGGGGACAAATTCAATGCTTGGCAGTGTATGTGTGGCAGACCACCATGCTCCTGCAGAACCACAGCCCAGAAGAATCACGGCAGACCACCAACAGCAAGCGGTTCTATAGGACAGCATTCTTAATGCTTCCAACAGAACCCCCCAAACCCACAGTTGGGGGCACTGTCACCGGAAGAGGCTGCTTTTCCTAACATCTTCCTTACACTGTTTGTGCAAATGTGCCCAAGAAAGCAGACGGTCTGATTACAATACTCCCCACCCCCAGTCCAAATGTGCAGGGCCACTTAACTCTCTGCTTGCGGTGAGCAGCCATTGCTAAATATTTAATGCCAACAGTTCTAACTGGAAAAAAATAGGACTCCCAAACTAAGTGTTAACGTCCTAACTCAGGACTGAGAATCGAAACTCTATTCAGCAGACTTATTTTAGGATGACACTGTTGTTTCTATAGGATGTGTACAGAGGAGGAGAAGGGCCGCAGTATAATGTTATGGAATAACGTTTTTGTGCATTGTGAAGATGCGCCGCTCTGATTGGTTTAATAAAAAGCTGACAGCCAATAGCTAGTGCAGGATTTTCTGGACAGAGAGAATTCTGGGAAGAAGAAGGCAGGAGTCACCAGCCAGATGGGAGAGGAAGCAGGGTGGGTAGTACAAAGTAAAGGTAACCAAGCCACATTAGGGAACGTAGATTAAAAGATATGGGTTAATTTAAGTTAAAAAAAAACTAGCTAGCAACAAGCCTAAGCTAGCGGCTGAGCCTTCATAATTAATAAGTCTCCATGTCATTTTGTTTGTTTGTTTGTTTGTGAGCTGGAGGCCCAAAGAGAACCCCATCTACAGTGTAAGGTCTTTTTCCAGCTAGCCGTATGTCCCTGGCTCCCTCTGCTGTCTATAAAGCAAGTGACCATGAGGCTGCAGTCTGTAGGGTGAGCTGCTGGGGGAATGAGGCCCCCCAGATGTGCCCTTCAGTGGCTGGAAGTCACTCCTGACCTGCTGTGCCTAGGGCCTTCTTACCACTTGGTGAGGCTGAGAGTCAAGAACGGTGGGAAGCCAAACTTAACACTTTTTAACCTATATATTCAAATAATGAAGGTTCAAATAATTCAAGTTACAAATAAATAAAAGTCACATCAGAAATATTGAAAAGTCATTCTAGGAAAACTCCAATTATTTTTTACCCACCCCATTTTTGGTACGGCTAGTTTGAAGAGAAGAGACTTGAAAATTCATTAAGTCATAAAACAAGAGCATTGTAAAAGATCTTCCACCACTGAACAAGCGATTAAAAATAAAATACTGCCCAAACCTCACCCCTTCCCTCAGGCCCAGCCCGAAGCTGGGGCTGCAGGAGGCTCTAGGATGTCAAAGGTCGCACAGAATCAGACTCTCCCTGACTAGAGGATACCATGTGGCTCTTGCAGGCAATTTTCTGGACCGGCTGCACCACATGTTAGCTCTCTTGCCGCTGTGACAGAATGTCTGGTGTAACTAAAAAGGGATAAAGGTTTAGCTAGCTCATGCTTTCCGAGGTTTCGTTGTGGAAGGAAGGGCATGGCGGAGGAGCTCCCACCGTGGCGGATAGGAGGGTGGAAAGGAAGGAGACAATGTATACCTTCCAGGGTGTGCCCCAGAAACCCACTCCTTCTAGATAGCCTCACCTGGAGACCATGTGTTCTAACACATGAACCTGTGGCGTACGCTGACAGGACACAGGAGAGCACTGGAGACCGGAAGCCAAGAACTGTCAATGAACTGAGCTGGGCTGCAAGGGGCACATAGTAGGTACTTGGGACACCTGAGCTTTCAAGACAGAAGACCAGAAGCTATCTACAGGGACTCCTGATGTCCTTTCGTGCCAGCCACATGGTGCCATCCTCACATACTTTCCACATGATCAGGGACATCTGCTTACCTAAGCCTCCCGAACCCCTCCCTCCAGAAAGGCAGATGTAACAGCTCTCTCTTCAAGAACCCTCTAGACTACTGCCCATGTGACTACAGTTGGGCATGAATTCCATGCCAATGCAAGCTCCCATACTATACATCACCTACACATAAATGACACTTTTATTTGCTGAGCTGGGGCTGGGAGATTCTGTCCTCTGGTGAACAGTGGTCCACACTCACAGCCAACCCTGCTGAGAAGATGCACTCTCTAGCCTGGCCCTCTCTAGGGAGATGCTCCAAGGTGGCCAGATCTCTGCGGGGGGAGGGGAGTCCTGAAATTCTCTCCTAGCTGCCCAAGGCAGAGCAGAGCAGCAGGGGAGCAGCTCAGGGAGGAAACTCTAGTCTTTAACCACCGAGACAACCAAGAAAGGAGAGAGCAATGAGCTATTCCCCAGGACAGAGACAGTGTTAGAGGGGAAACCAGTACTGCTGAGTGGCTGGGCCCAGACCATGACCTCTTCCATATGGCCCTTGTTGGGGGTAATTGGTATGCAGGCACCACATACACCACAAACTCTGACCTACCCATGTTACCAGTAGAACGGAGGCTAGGCGGGAATGCCACTGTGGAAATGAAAGTAGGCATCAGGGAGGTGATTCACTGCGCAATGGTGAGGGGGTCCTGGTACAGCAGCCCAGGAAGTGCTGTGTGCAGTTGTACACACTACACAATGTCGTCATTAAGACATGTACAGAATGTATGTGACAGAGTCAAAAGTCTGCAATTTATTAAGTACAAAAGCAGATTATAAAATAAGTATATGGTCCTAATTTTGTTAAAAAAATTCTTAAAGGTTAAAAAAATCCCTGAGTTTCAAGGCAATACTAAGACTGCTATTACTCATCAGTAGGACTGTAGAAGATTTTAAATTGCCTTTCTTACACTTTAGTGTGTTTTCCAGATTTTATATGATAGCATAATTGTTTTTGTATTTCTGAAAGAAATAATGCATAATAAAATACATCCTAGTTGGGGAAAAGTTTCAAAACCCTTTCACACATTTCAAAATGCAGAATTACAAAGTCAATAGCTTTTATTAACATGATATAAAAAATTAGTGTGATATACAGAATTCCCAGAGAGTAACTTTAAAACATTTTAATATGATTCTTAAAATCTTAACTTACCAGATACGTTCTTACTGCCACTGAGTTTTTAATACAAAAAGTTTACAAGCGCTGCTTACTATAAAACAACAATGTTGAGACTGTGGATAGGTAGTCCGTTCTCAGTCATCCACTGTGAACCTTCATCAGTCTGCTGCTAAGCCTCTGACGCCAAGTAATAGTGACATGGATTCTGTACACAATTATAACAGAGTTATTAAGATTCCAGTATGTTTCCACATACTACACCACATGATACCGTGAGCAAGAGGGCTCCTGCACACAGCGCTTTCCAAGGGTGAGAGGAGGACCAGTTAGCTGGACTCACTGAAGAACGAGTCTAGGCTAACTCTAGAAAAATCTAGCTGTTTCTGTGAAGTAGGCATGATTCATAAACTTCTCTACCCTTGAGAGCCCCTAAACCCAAACAACTTGATAACATTAATCTTTGATTAGTCATATAAAAATAATCTTAGATTCATGCTTAACTTCAAATTCTTCGAAGTATCTAAAAGATTTTACATTCTCTTTTCTGACTTAGGTACAATATTAGATCACTTGGATTTCAAGTTTAGATAAAATAACTAAAAATGGTTTGGCCAAAATTTTATAGGCACATAACTAAAATGCAAAGCCAAGAGGTTGCAGTGGCGCCCATCCTAGAGAACCAGGCTCCCATGGCGACTCAAGTGTGTGGGAGACCCAGCTGGCACGTGGGTCAGACCCTAGGATGTCACTCGTGCTTCCAGACCTGCTCATAAGAATAATTACGTATACTTCACGAGAAGAATTAATATTGTGATGTCTTGAGAACTTGCAGTTTAAATGTCACTAAGTTATAGGCTAGGAAAGTGATTTTCAATTAAATGCTGGTTTATCTTTCGGAAATAGATCTAACAGTCCAAATGGCACTTACTGAGCATTAGTGACAACACACGCAGACAAACAGGCACACCTGCTCCAATAATCACCGGGAAAGGAAGCTGTGTGGCTCAGCGGAGTCTGTGGGCGTAGAGATGGGGCGGGGGCTGCTCCTTTCATCAGCCCTCCTAGGCAGGTGTGGCTCAAAAGTTCTCTCCAGCATAGACTTTACATATACGTTTGTTGTTACAAGTGGGAATAAATAATCAGGAAATTATATATTTAGGAATCAGGAATATTTTTTAGCCTAAAAAAGTGCAAGCTCGCAGCATAGCAGAAAACAGCCATGATGTCAGCAATGTCCGCAGCATGACACCAGGCCTTTCCCTCCCTTCCCGGTCACTCATGTTTTGGTAACTATACTCAGCAGACCCAGAACATTTCTTTAGTTGGTTCAGACACGTTCTCACATGACAGTCGGGATGCTGCTGAGAGGATCTGAAAAGCACACGCAGGGTGAACTGAGGAAGCCTGAAATCCCATCTCCCGGGACATCGACAGTGCAGCTCATCTTTGCCTTACACCTCTGCCGGCTCACACACCCAGCTCTCTCCAGCCACGCTCACATATTGTAGGCCACGTAGATGGGGTCCAGCTGGTCAGCCAGGAAGCCGTCGCGCAGGTGCATGCGCTGCTTCTCACCCCGAGAGTTGATGGGGATCACTCCAGGGTCTACGATGACCACCACCCCCACCACAAGGTAGTGTTCCTCCAGCACGACATTGGTCACCAGCGCTACCAGGTCCAGGGCATCCTGCTCCAGACCGTCCAGCTCCACCACTACCACCAGCAGATTGGTCCAGGTGAACACGGCACTGGAGGAGAGCAGACAGTCACAGAGATGGACAGCACTGGGAGCGAACAGATGCTTGGGAAGCATGCCAAAGTTGGCCAAGACACCTCTTACATTCCTTGGCACAGCACTCCTGTTTAACATCATTTATAATCTTAAAGTCGGGCTAACTGTGCCTTATAGGAATATCTACTCTAACTTTCTCAATAAGAATCAAGAACAATCTGGATAAGAATCAAGAGCAAAGCTGTGCTTGTCCCAGGGCAGGCTCTCTACAGAGTGAAGATATCATGGCTCACCACTGTTTAAAAAGAAAATTACACTTAACCTAGGAATACTCCCAAATGAGAACAGTGGCCATCTCACATTTTGCCTGTGTGATGCTGAAGATGGCTGTGTGATTCAAACATGACCAGGAAAAGGAAAAGACAGGGAGGCATTCTCTGATGCTGTTTTGTAGAAATGTATCTAGAATAGGTAAGAGGCGCAGGGCCTTCTGGGAGAGCGGTGAGGGCAATCCAGCTCACCAGGGACTGCAACTGTGCGGGGGCTGTGCTCATGGTGGAATAGCACCCGCCTGGTGCTGCCCTTGGGTGCAGCGCTCATGCCCAGGGAGCAGCTGGATAGACAGCATAGGGAATGTCTCCGTCAGCTCTTACCATTCTGCAATGCTCCGGTGTGCACGGATCACGGAGGTTTCTATGTCGATGGGGTGGTACCGCATGCCTCTCAGCTCAAGCGTTTCATCCAGAGACCCAACAACATACAATGCATCGTGTCGTTCTGCAAACATGAGCATGTGCATGCTTAGGAAGCATGTCACACAGCGAGGACGCCAACCCTCTGTGTGTGAATCCTACCGCTTGCCCTGTGCCACACGGAGGCCCTGACACCAATATCTCTTGGCTCTTTTGCTTCAAGCCAAGAGGGCTGATGGTGGTCAACCATCTCAGCAGTTACAGCAGTGTGTGTGTGTGTTAATATATTTTAAATAATTTTTAGCTACAGCATGGTATAGCAACCATAGGTTACAAAAGTTCTGACTCCAGCTGTTAGGCCTGCAGGGACCACACCTCTGGGCAAGCATCACAGCTTGTCCTCACCAGAGTGGAAAGGGCACCTCGTATGACTGGAGAACCACACAGAGCACACCATCAGGGTGGAAAGGGCATATACTAAAGAGTCATATACTGAAGAGCATGCCATGCTTATAAAGAGTGCAATTTCTGGGATGGCTTTGTCACTTGGGAGGAACCTCATGGCATACGGCCAAGAGCTGCCACCACCCTCACACATATCTTCTGCAGAGGTCAAGGGTCTGAGACTGGGAGGGGCAGCAATGGAAGGAGGAACAGCAACACTCACAGAAAGGTGTATTGGAGCCTACGCTTTACCCTACCCTGAACAACACGAATTACAGCCAGTGGTGTACACATGTGCGGTACCAGGTAATCAAGGGCTCCCGAAGGGGAGGCAAGGCTCACAGGCTGTAGCAACAGAGTCCCCAATCCCCGGCATGCTGGGGCAAGGCCTTCACCGAGGAGCTCTTACCTCCACTGGCATCAGTCAGCTCTGTCCTGCGAAGAAAGCCAAGGTAGCCAGTCCTTGCCCAAATGGTCTGGGTGTCTCCAAAGCTCAGCCGGGCGCTGAAGTGGTCAGCATGAAGCGTCTCCTCCCCATAGACCGTGTAGTAGCCAGTGGCATTGTGGGGACTGCTCACCCAGATCTAGTGGACAGGGGCAGTCAAGAAGACAAGCAAACCACTGAGTACAAGATAACACCAAAAAGGCACGGGCAGCATTTCCAGCGTCTTATTTTGTGAACCGGATACAGCTACAAGCATAGAGAGCAAACACAAACATGACTACTCACTAATTCTTTTCCTTCTTCCTCCCCCCACCCCTCCCCTCCTCCTTCTTTTACACAGGGTATTGCTATGTAGCTCAGGTTGGCATCCGATTCATTCTTTTTCTTTTTGATTTTATGAGACAGGGTTTCTCTGTATTGTTTTGGAGGCTGTCGGTCCAGCCCGGCCTCGAACTCACAGAGATCCGCCTGCCTCTGCCTCCCGAGTGCTGGGATTAAAGGCGTGCGCCACCACCGCCCAGCTCAGCATCCGATTCATAATCCTCCTACTTCAGACTCCTGAGTGCCAGGATTGTATGTGTGTGTGCGCGTGTGTGCATGCACGCGTGTGCTCGTGCATGTGCATGTGTGTGTGTCTATGCCTAACATAACTTCTTCTAAAATAAATTGTTCCTTTGATCCAGGAATGGTATCTGTATGGCTCTGTCCTGTCTAGGTATGTTTCTGCTTCCATACATGAAATGACAGTGACAGTGAGAGAGAATGGGGTTAGTCTGTTGTTCACAACAGGGAAAGGTTAAAGTGCACTCTGTGTGGAGAGCACACAGCTGCTCACTCACTCATGCCTCACCAATGTAAATGGCACACTGGTGTCTACAACACCCCTGTGAACCTGTGGTCATGCGCATTCCTGCAGGATGCTCACAGATGAGTTGCTATGAATCCATGTATAGACCAAAATCTATAGGTGCGTGCCTGTAGTCCTCAATAGTGTCTAGGGGTCTCCTAGACAAAGCCCACCCAGAACCCACTGAGCTGCCCACACTAACAATGTGACACCGCAACTTCCAAAAAGAATCAGAAAGGAGGGAAGCCCCCATGAGGAGTAGGTCCACCATTCAGCTCAGACCTCCAGTGTCTTATTGGCACTCCCTTGCAGGCTCTCCTGCCGTTATCTGCCTAGTGCCCCCGAATAAGGGGCCCTACCTGCTCCCTCCCCATAAGTGAGGGGCCTTATCTTCCCATTGTACACAAGTGAGGGACCCACCCAACCAGCTCACTACAATGAGTAAAGGGCCTTATGCCCAATGCCTGTGAGTGAGGGGCCCAAGTGCCCACTCCCTGTGAGTGAAGTACTCCACCTACCCAGTGCCCACGAATGATGGACCCCACTTTCCCACTGTCTGTGAGAGGCTCCACTGGCCCACTCTTCATGCGTGGGGAACAATACCTGTTCACTTCCCATGAGTGAATGGTACACCTCCCTACTACCTGAAGTGAGGGGCTCCCCTGCCCTGTGATAAAGACACCCTATCTACCTAATACCTACGACAGACTGTGTGCCACAATTGCCTCGTGTATGGCTGAGGCTTTGGGACACCAAGGATTCTGAGCCTGGAATAAAGTCTTGTGTGACTTTGAACCTGAAGCCAGTGTTTAATTGTCACTGGGTCTGTGGATACAATGCCAAGTTTTAAGGAGTGGATGCCCAGTTCTGCCCAGAGCAGCTGTTTCTGTCCCATGTGACTCCTCTGGCACCCCAGTGTCCTCATAACTTGGTTGATGGGGAGACCCCACGAGAGGCCTCTTTCCCACATGCTATGAAGCCCTGTATACCAGCAGGGTCTGAGAGTGCAATGGAGTTAGGAAAGAGATGGTTTCTAGGGTTCTCAAAAGGCATACGGAAACTGGAAAGCAGCTGAGAACACTTGATGCTCTTCCAGAGGACCTGAGTTTGGTTCCCAGCACTTACCTCAGGTGGCTCACAACTGCCTGCAGCTCCAGGCCCAGGAAAGATCCCAGCCTCTGTCATCTACAGACACCTGGATGCACATGTGTGTGCACACGTGTGTGCGCCCACACACACGCACACACACAGGGAACATACACACACACACACACACACACACACACACACATACACTAAAGAATAACAAAAATAGATCTTTTCAAAAAGACATCTGGAGTACCAAAAGGTTTAGAATCCCTGAACGCTAAGGCAATTCTGAGAGGAGGAGAGGGAAGCCAGGGTCTGGAAGGCTCTCACACTGGTCCGTACCCAGCCTCCAGCAGCACTCACCTCGCCCAGATGTGAGTCTCCGAGGGGCCCTTTGGTCTCCGTGTGTGCAATAATGACCTTCACTCCTGGGAGGATCTGCAAGGAGGGGAGCTGTTAAAGGCCTGGGTGAAGAGAAACCTCCCAGACTTCTGATTCGGTGGCACTGGCAAGTCCTATCCCTCACACACCCTTCCCGTTCTGCCGCTGAAGCCGAGGAAGCTGATCAGCAGGACTGGCTGCAGATCAGGAGTTTAGTAGCGTTTTACAAGAAGAGGCGCTGACAGAAATACAACGTGAATCTGAACAAAACGGCCCCGGTCCTGAAAATGGGCCCTGTCTTCTTTACTGGGAGGGCGTTTGGGGATCCTGCAGGTGCTCCTCTGTCAGCTTCACTGCCAGGCATCTATCAGTGGGGGTGTTCTAAACCCGTGAGCTACTCTGTGCAGACAGAGGCAGCTGAGGGGCCGTGTGCCCTGCTGAGCTTACCGCACTCAGTTCTGGAACCTCTCTGTGCTTGGATCAGCTCCCCCTGAAGTCCAGTCACTGCTCTGTGTCCCCAGTCTCCTCATGAATGAAACAGAGGATGATAAAGTGGCCCTCAGAAGTGAAGAAGGGGCTGCAGGGACGCAGGGACTGATAACAGCTAGCAGGCCTGGCCTTGTTTGACACCGCTGAGCTGTCTGTCTCCTGACATACTGAGGAGAGAGAGCCTCTCCTCTCTCCCTCTGTGGCACACCTGCATCCTGAAACCAAAGGACTCAGAACACAATTTCTCCAGGCCCATGTCACTCCTGCGAAGCAGCTTGTAAAAAAAATTATGGTGCAGCCACATATGAACAAGGTGGATACAGGTATAAAGAGGCTTCCTATGAGTAATGATTGTTAGTATTCAGGCATCTATACTGGCCTGCCCTTTGGGGTTCTGACAGGATACGTCTCAGCTGCAGCCACGAAGAGCATCACCTGTGCCTATTCCTGCCTCTGGGGCTGAAGGACGTGTAGGAGCCTCTGATCAGCCTGGGTGTGAAGAGGGTGCTGTGCAGTTGGGCAGGCAGCGCGTGCGCACTCACCGGCCTGGCTGACTCCCCGCCTAGTCACCCTTCCTTGACCTCTCCTTGCTTCTGAGGATGCTGGCCTTCCCGGGTTTGCTCTGCCGACCCCACACTGGCTCATATTTCTATGTGGGCAGTCTCAGGCAGACTTAGCCCTTCCCAGCCCTCTGGAGACTTCTGGGGGCCTTACTAGGCCAAGACTGGCTTTGATGGCAATCTCTTCTGTGTGGGCCCTGGTGGGGCCTCTTCTCTACTGTCACCCTGGATGAGAGTGTAAGTTCCTGACACCTCCAGTCCAGGATCAGGGCTACCCTCTGTGACTGGAAGTGTGAGGGCCCTTGTCCCTACCCACCTCACGCCTGCCACTGTCTGCAAAGAGGCTGTCCCTTCTCTGCTTCTGTACCCGGGCACTCCAACTATGGGCTCTACGCGCCGCCGAGTATCCAAATGTCTAATTTCTCATTTCTAGGCTCTTCTGTGGCCAATCCCACTCCCCAAATGGTATCACAGTCACGAGAAGCATGCATCCCAGCACTGTTCACAACAACTTCTACTACCTTTCCAGACTCCATCAATGGTAGACTATGCGGAGAACCCCTTTCCACCAAACGAACTCTAAAAGTTGACAAAGAAAAGAAAATCAGAATAAAATTTACTCCATGGTAATTTCTACAAGGGCAAATCACATGTGCCCAAGGGAGCCCACAATGCCATTTCCTGGTTGCAAGTGTCCCGGCCTTGGCCAACATTACTACCACACAGGACGCTGGAGACACCCAGCCCAGACAACCCCAGCCTACAGCACTTAGCGTGTGGACGAGGCCATGCAGACAGGGAGGGGGCTGTACCTGTCGTGGCGCAGGGCCCGCATGTCCACATAGACAGTCGTGGGATCTGGGCCTGTTGTGCCCTGGAAGGAGAACAACAGGAGAACTTCTTTCAGAATTTCTGTGCTCTGCCCAGTTTCACAAAGCGTGGCCATGTGGTAGCTCCTCCCAGGCTGTTTCTGACACCCGGAGAGAAGCTGTGTATCTTGCAACCAGTCTGCGCAAGGGCTCATGGTCCCCATGGCAGAGCTGATGCTGTCCATCCAAACATCTACCTGTCTAATGACAATGAGTGAGACACTCAGTAACTGAATGAAAACATCAAATCCTGGGGTTTCTATGTCAGTTCTGATTAGTTTCCGTCCCTGCTGGCCTCTGCTGTGTTGAAGCAACACTGCAGATGTGGACACCTTCACCCAGTGTCAAGTCAGGGCCTGGAGTCTCACTAACTCTGCTAAGGACTAAGTACTGCAGAGGCTCAGAGGAATGTCTTGCTGTCCGGATATACTGGACAGTGTTGTCCCTTAACAAGGTTTACTGTTATTACTACATTTATTTAATGGTATGTGTTCATGTGCGTACCCACATGCCTAAAGCATGTATGTGGAGGTCAGAGGACAACTTGGGGAATCAGTTCTCTTCTTCTACCTTGTGGGTCCCCGGGACTAAATTCAGGTCAATCAGACTTGGTAGCAAGCACCTTTACCGGCTGAGTCATCCCACCCCGCTGGCCTGGTCCCCATCATTCCCTGAAGCATCTAGACAGCATGACCTCTCACTAGCCTCTGAAAACTTTGCATTTGGTTACAAAGGAGCTCATGTAAAGTCAGATCATTCTCATTGTGGATAAACTAAGACAGTAAAAGAAAACACGTATTCTGGAATCCACCAGAAGATCACATGAACTTAAAGAAGCAGGGTGGGAGTAAGGAGCAGGAAGGGGGGGTGACAGACATGGAGACATCAGCAAGGTTGAGGGCTAGGGCAAGGTCCTACCTGCTCAGCTAGTTTTCCCAGCCTGTTGGGCTGACAGAGGCCAGGGCGGCCAGCAGAGGGAGACAGGGAGGAAATAGCACAGGAAACAAACAGAAGGCCACAGGCCACATGAGAAACACCGTGAGAGAGAAGAGCACATCACTGTATCTTAAAGAGCAAACACAGATCTGTCATTACAAGTTCTGCCATTGCGCGTGGCACCCACATGCTGACACACGAGGCGGATGCCTTCCCATGCACGGCGTGGGGGCACCTTCAGAGCCAGATTCAGGGTTTCCTGACCACAGTCACCAGCTTGCTCGTCAATCGCATCAAGCCGGGGTCCCCAGTCTGCTGTGGCTACACAGTCATCTGAAACTTACAACAGTCTCGGGCAGAGCCTGTCCCCAGACGAGAGGACACCAGCAAAGTGAGGTGGGAAACAGGGTGATACCTTTTAGACAGGTGTAGACTCTGGGGCCAAGGGACATGCAGCCACCAAGGGAATGAATAGGGCACAGGCTGAGGGTGTGCTTCGGGAACCCAGAAAGGGTTGCCGGGGTTACAGCATTTGATATGTCAGACAGCAGACTGCTTTTTGCCTTTAAGAAATGCTTAGGAAGAAGTGAAATAGAGACTAGTATAAAAATCAGAAAACGGGGTAGCTACTGAAAGAGCCTCGTGATACTGGTGTCGGTTCTATAACTTCTAAAACTTTTTAGATTGCTACTTTAGTAGCAGTCCTAAACTAAAGTGGCCAGTAAGAATTATCACCCTTATTAGTGTTCCAAATTAAAATCTGCACATGGGCCAGGTGGTGGTGGTGCACGCCTTTAATCCCAGCACTCGGGAGGCAGAGCCAGGCGGATCTCTGTGAGTTCGAGGCCAGGCTGGACCGATAGCCTCCAGAACAATACAGAGAAACCCTGTCTCATAAAAACCAAAAAAAAAAAAATCTGCACATGTATGACATTTATGTATATGTGTGTATGCATATATATGTACCTAAATATATACATTTTTTTTAAAGCAGAGTCTCTCTATATAGTCCCAGCTACCCTGATTCTCACTGTGTAGATCAGGCTGGGCTCAAACTTATAGAGATCCGCCTGCCTCTGCCTCTGCCTCTTGAGTGCTGGGATTAAAGGCATGTGCCACCACACATAGTTTACTATGGACTTCTTAGGAGATAAATTTTCCTTTTAAAGATTAGCTACACATTACATTTAACTTAGAAATGCTCATAGTTACCACAGTTACTGCTCAAAAACAAACTTTTGCTTCTGTCTAAATATTCCTGTTCATCAAAAAGAATGGAATATCTTTCTAAACAAAGTCCTCATGGTCCTCAAAGCTGAATGGTTACTTGGAAATGTAACATCCACAACTCCAAGGTGCAGACATAGATAAAGCCATGTGCTGATGTCACTCTAGGAACACGTTATTCTCTGGTGCAGGGGCCAGTGATCTTAGGTGCAGTCAACTTACCTGGAGGCAGATGGCCACATTGACCCTGCACCCAAAGGTGGTGCTCACAGCGCGTGCAGGGAGGCCCAGGTCTTTGAACAGCTTGGAAAACGACTGTGTCAATGAGATCCGGGGCCGTTCCTCAGCCACCACCATGCACGTGCGCACACATGACAGGTTCACCCCTTTCATCTGTAGAAGAGCAAGACGTCATTTCACAACACACACAGTCTGGGGCCCCCAGCGCCAACTAGGAATTTCTGTGGGACCCCCGTGGGCTCTGGCTGTAGATCTGGGCACAGAGGCAGGCTTGAACACAAATCCATTTCCTCTAGTTTTGCCTGCATCCGGGGAATTCGGAGCATAGATGCACTGGTGAGAACCCTGGAAGGTCTACGGCAACCCTCTGCCTGTCTCCTCACACACCCTCCTGCCCACTGGGTGCACAGCTAGCTGGGAGAGAGGCCACGGTGGCTGCATAGGCCGGCTTGGCGCTTACCCTGAGGGCGTCTGTCTGTGCGCCCAGGCCCTTGGTGCACATCTCCATCACCGAGTAGGAGCAGAAGGTAACGCGGGCCTTATACTGGCTGACGGCAGACAGCCAGAGGGACACGTTGCTCTCCAGCTCCAGTGGGGGAACAAGCACTGACTGGTGCCCAGAGTAGACGCTGTGAGGAGAAAGGCAGTCGGAAGGGAGCCAGCGAGCCAGGCCCCAGGCATGCTTGCTCCTGCCTCGAGTGTACCGTTTCTCCAGCCTGAATGGGCACAAGTCTGCTCTGAAGTCAGTGGGAGTTTAGCGGAAACGCGCTGTGTGGTGCGGTCCTGCACTCCACCCAGACAATCAAAAGCATCAGGAAGCGACGTGGGGAAGTCACTTCCTACTCACAGAGGTGGATCACTGCTTTTTAGTGTTTGAATGAACCAGAAGATTCTTCCCAGTCACCATTTTTTTTTCCAGTTTGTTTGTTTGTTTGTTTTGGTGCCCCTCCCACACCCAACGCCTGCACAGGGTTTCTCTGTGTAGCCTTGCAACTCACTCTGTTATCCAAATTGGCCTGGAACTCACAGACATCCACCTGCCTCTGCCTCCCGAGTGCTGGGATTAAAAGAGTGAGACACCATCGCCTTCTTCCCAATCACTAATAATAGACAGTGTTTGTATTTAATGAAAGAATACTCTTTTCCCTTTTTTATAGGATGATCATGTGTGCGAGGTGTGTATGTGGGGTGCATTAGCACAAGTCAGAGGGCAAGCTCAGAGTCTGTCTCCTTTTACTCTTATGTGGGTTCCAGGGATCGAACTTGGGCTGCCAGATTTGCATAGCAAGTGCATTAACCTTCTGAGCCACCTGGCTGGCCTCTATTTCTTTTTCTTTTCTTCGTTCTTCTGTTTTTGAGACAGGGTCTTACTATACAGGCCTAGCTGGCCTGGAACTTGCTGTGTAGACCAGACTGTCCTCAAACTCAGAGGTCCGCCTGCCTCTGAATACCAAGTGCTGTGACTAAAGGCATATGTCACCATGCTTGACTACGTTTACTCTTTTATTAAGTGTAAACCCCGATTCTGACCAACAGACAAACGCCCATTCACACTCCTTAGATTCCTTGACACTCAAGAAAGCACCCAAGAACCACATGGGCCACACAGGCCCCAGGAGCAACGGCTGCACGCCCTCACCTGCACAGACACCACAGTGCAAAGCCGAGGCCACAGTAAGGGTCCAGGCAGATGGCGATCTGCCGTGAGGGGTACAGCTCACACTGAAGCTTTATGGAGCGGCACAAGGCACTTGTGGCTGCGTGTGACATCTGCAGGAGGGAAGAAAAGGCCTGCTCAGGGTTGCGGGGGAGGAAAGGTTAAAGGCCGTGTCTGCTGTGCACCGTGGCTGGCTGGGCATGCAGTTCCCCGGCACCAAGCACCAAATTAACTTCTAAGAAGATGGTTGGCCCATTCCTCCAGAGAACATGAGTAGTACCCACAAAAACTGCACACAGGAACCTCTGAAACCAGACTGTACGGCATTGACTAGCAGTCTAACTGCACTATTACAAAGTGCTTTGCTTGTTTTATTTACGTGTATGAGTTTATGTACACCATGTGCATGGCTGATGTGCACAGAGGCCAGAAGACGGTGTCGAATCCCCTGGAAGTGGAATGACACGTGGTTGTGAGCCACCTGAAAGAGGAGCCAGGAACCCGGCTCCTCCGGAAGAGCGGCGAGCGCTCTTAATGCTGAGCTCTCATACCAGTTGCTTTAAGTGTATTCTTAATCACATTAAATGAACTCAGCGAAGTCATCTTGATCTAGAGACCAGACAGTACCATAAAAAATATGCAATGTTCTCAGGTGTCTGAGTTTTTGGGCTCCATCAATATTTAACATAAATTTTAAGACACAGTATTATTGCTTTGTGCTTTGGATAAGAAGCATCTGCCTAAAGCTACAACCCACATCCTTCCTATTAGCATCCTTACTCCTGCCTGTTCTCTCAGTGTCCCCAGGATGTTGACAACAGGAACCCGTGAGGTCCTACCTTTACTCCCGCCAAGATCCCAGTCGTCGACACACTGAAGTCCAAGTACGCAAGCACATCTGGGGAGGGTGGTCTGAAAATGCTCGCTACCTTCTTTTTTGGAATGTCATCTGTTAAGTAGAAGACACCAGTGACTAATGTCACACAGCCTGCACAAGTAAAAGCTTCGACTTCCCCGGAGAGCCGGGGGTGGGGTGGGGTGTCCTGTTTGCATGTGGGAAAGATCACTCTTTGAGGAGAGATCACTGGTGCAGGCTACCCAAGGCTATTCTGTAGGTGTGGAGCCTGGATGCTGAGGGGAACAGGAGAAGAAATCACTCTGCTGCTAAACGGGAAAGGCCGGAGTGCTGAGGCTGAGCCAATATTGCAGAGGCTGTGGCAGAGCCATGAGAACAGCCAGGCAGACAGATTCTTGGGGTGTGTGTGCTTCAGTGTATGCGGTAAATGCTGCTGTGTTTCAGTGTATACGGTAAACGCTGCTACTGCCTGCTGTGCAGATGGGCACGGGTTTGGGTTCAACAGGGCAGGGCTGCCCTCTTGAGACTGAAGGGTTCTGTCAGCTGGGACACGGTACCAGTTCCTCACTCCTGCCACAGTATCAGGCACACGGCTCTATTGGTCTCTGGTTTCCACACAAAGCAGAGCTTCAGAACGCAAGGGTGTGATGGAAAAGGAAAGGCTCCCTCCACTCAGGAGCCAGAAATCGGTCCCTAGTGGTGCTGGGGGCCTGCTAGGCCAAGTAGTCGACATCTGCGAAGCAGGGTTGCCCTTAGCGGCCCTGCTGACTCAACCATAAGACACAGCTTCTTCCCAGCTGGTGTGAAGGCATCTCAGGGGACATGATGGCACTCATCAGTGATAGTGACAGGGGTTCCAGGGGGTGCACAGTGAAGACAGTGCCAAGCTATGTAGACAGGTGCCAGCTAACTATGTTGGCAGGAGGCAGTGGGACTAGGATTTCAGCCCCTAACACGAGCATGGGGTCTGCTGATGGTGGGCCCGGAGTGGAGACCTCATATCCTAGACAGGGAGCCAGGCCATATAAGGAGTGGTCCTAATGCCCCACCAACACTGTGCCTGCTCTGCCAGGTAAACACAAGACGGCATCTTGCCATTTACACAAGCTGAACTAGTTATCTGAACATTTAGTTTTTCAATATGTTATTTTATTATGTGTATATATGTATTCCAGAATGTATATGTGTGCACTGTATATTCAGAGCTCAGAAGAGGTTACTGGATCCCTTGGTACTGGAGTTACGGACAGTTCTAAGCCTCCATGTGGGTGCTAAAAACCACATCTCAGTCCTCTGCAAGAGCAATGAGTTCCTAACCACCGAGTCCTCTCTCCAGCTCTCCAATGTCTATTTTTTTGTATGTCAACAGCATAATGCCAGCAACGGAAAGCCTCCAGGAAAGAAAGCAATGGTTTGTCTTTGCAGGGGCAGCTGTTGGAGACACGTACCTGTGTCTAGGATGGTTGGCCAGGTCCTGACATCTACAGCGGCAGCTGCTTCTTTGGACTTGAGCAGCCGGGTAATGGCCTGCGTGCTAAGGACACATGCAGACTTGCTGACCTGTGTCATATGGAAGCAAGAACCCAGGTAAGCTGTAAGCCTGGCCACTCATCTGCACACCACTCTGCAGAGAAGACCACGCGTGACAAGCGCCGTGGCCCCGCCCAAGAGGACACGGCCTGCCAGGAGGGAGAGCGTACCTCTACAATCATCTTCACAGTGGGCAGTGTGGTGCCAAGGTTCTGGGGGTGTGGGGGTCGCACAGTGACAGGCACACAGCCACAGTACAGGCAGCCATAGAACGCAGCGATAAGATCAACCCCTGGGGAGACAGGGCGACACGGTCAACACTGGGTTCAAGGGTACAGGTATCCAATCTCAGGTCTGATGAGGACAACCTAGAACATCTGTCCACAGATAGGAAAGGGACAAGCGGGTGTGATTTCCTTTTGATACAGCCATGGTTAACTCTACATGATCAGGTTGGGGCTCACCAAACCTAGCGCTGACAGTATGAACAGAAAGGAAGGTACCCCAATCCTGGAAGGGGGCCTCAGGGGGGCCATGTGGGAGGGGGGTCACATCAGGTGCTCACACACTGCAGTAGGGAGACCCTTGCCCTGTACAGCAGCAGTACACCTTTGGCCCACCAGACCCGGATGTTAGAAGGGCTGGGCAAGTCTGCATACACAGGCTTAAAGGGCATCCTTGGGGATAAACTGCTTGCAGTGGAGGGTCCCCAGACACCACACCAAGAGGAGCCATTCCTTCAGATATTTAGCAGTCTATCTCATAACATATTAAAATGCATTAGAAGGTGATATAAATAGAAACCGGAATTTCTTTTTTAAAAAAACCAGACATGAATAGAAAATTTAAAAATTCGTTTCAAGATAAAGATGCGGCTTGAAGGTGGACAAGACCACAAAGTCTTAAGATAAAAGATAAGGGTGACATTTACAACTGTGAGTGGGAAGGAGACAGGGGGGAGGAAGTGTCAGCTGCTAAAGGCGGCTAAGGACGCACAGCCGGAAGGAGCACAGAGCTTGAAGAAAAGCAAGGGATCAGAAAGCACGGCGGGAAGACAATGACTCAGGAAGCCCCTCGGATCAAAAGACATGGAAGGCTCACATTCAGAAAGACCCTGGACATGAAACTACTGAGCAAGAACAACCAACACTAGCTCTGCAACATACTAAACTTTGAAGACAGGGGAAAGCATACGCTTGTCATGAAGGCAAACCCAGCAAGAGGTCTGCACCCACTGGAGAAACGGGACTGTGCTAGGAACAGTGGAGCAATGGTTTATCACATACACCAGGGCTTTCTATGTAGCATACAGTGAGTATTGACCCCACGTGGCTCCCTAAGGAATCCTCCAGGAAAGGAGTTTCAGGAAATAGCTTCCTGGGTACTGAGACAGATGCGCTCAGGGGAACACACATATGGCTAGTGTCGTACTATAGACATGGGACGATGTAAAGGGAGAATGAAGTTTAGCAACCACTGTCTGAGAAGAGCATCATCTGCTGCAGCCCTAATGAGAGGGTGAGCAGCACTTGTCCAGCACGTGCAGGGTCCAGGCTTGACTCCTCAGTTTACCATGGAAAACAATGGGTGGGGGACGAATGAACACAGGCCAAAAAGTTTGACTTGTTCTTTAAAAAACTCAGCAAGGTGCCTGAGGTACTATCATAACTATTTTGAGAATGCTGTATGTAATGAGGGATACAGTAGAAAGTATAATAATAGGACATTCCAATCTTGGTAAGTCCTAAAGCAGTGGTTCTCCCAACCCCTTTGCAGGTTGAATGACTTTTGTGCAGGGGTCACATATCAGATCTCCTGAGGAACAGTCCTATTTACATCATTATTCATAGCAGTAGCATAATTATAGTTATGAAGCAACAACGAAAATAACTTTATGGCGTTAGGAAGGTTGAGAACCACTGTCCCAAAGAATCAGGGGCCTTAGAGTGGGAAAGCGATCTTAGAGAAGAGGCTTAGTGAAACACTATCGCTTGGACTTGAGTTGGAAGGGACAGTAGGAACCAGGAGCTCTCTAAGAAACACAACGAAGCTTCGAATTCTAGCTCTGCTCATAGCAGCCAGCAGCAATGACTGCCCCTCACCTCACCCCTTGTTCTGAGATGTTGGGTCTGGAAGGGTGAGAGTCTAGCTCTAGAGGAAGACACACGGGGGTAAGCTGAGCACTTGCCAGCCACCCTGACAGCAAAAAAAGCCACCAAGGCCACTAGGGACAGAGGTCCCACCCAAAGGACTCTTAGTGGCATTGGCATCACAAGAGGAAGAGGGGACTGAGCTCAGTTTCCAAAGGCCGGGAGAGGGTCTTGAGTGTGCATTTACCTGGGGGATAGACCAAAGCCACGTGGTCCCCAGCATCCAATCGTCCCTTCTCCATCAGAGCAGCAGCCACTCTCTCCGCCCTTTTGTGCAGCTGGATACAGGTTGCAGTGCTGGTGACTGTGCCCTGGAGAAGAATCAAGTTCGTTGGTGCGCTGACATCCTCAGACCCAAGAGTATCTGCTCGGGAACCTGTGCGCATCCGGCTGCACACTGGGCTCCTGTGGTCAGGAATCGGATTATGTCAATGCTAGGCAATGCTAGGGTCTGTGTGACAGATGAGGGGTGGGCATCTCTGAGTGGTCCAACCTGAGCCTAGAAGGGTAAATACTCGTACCTGACAGAGCTAAAGACTGTAAAAAGGCAGAATACACATGCCGGGGACTCATCCGAACCCTGAATCTTTTCCCGGGACCTGTCTCACGGGCTTCCCCACTCCGAGCCTGCAGGACATTGCCCTCTGGCCTGTCCAGAGCCGGCACTCCAGCACTTATGCGTCTCTCCTCCAACCCCCACAGGCTGACTACATCTGACAATCACTATCTGTCAGCATTACTCAGAATGCAAGTATCGGCTGGATATTTATTGAGACACACCAGGAAGCAAGACAGCCTCTCACATAAGAAACGAGTTTCTGCAGAGAAGATTTTGCTACTGTTTAAACACAGTGGGCATCGATAAATGTCTCTGTGTGGCTTGAGCATGGAGGCACAGTCCTGTGCCTGCACTTGAAGCTGAGAAAGGAAGATGGAGAGTTGAAGGCCAACCTGGCATATGTACCAAGATCCTGTCAGATAGAATTAAATAAAAAAGCAAATCTTTGAATGAGCCAAGAGTATCAGGGCCTAACTTGCATTTTCCAAGACTGTGGTACCTGCCCTTTGTGACAATAATCGAGGTCTCTTAAAGCATGGTTGGTATGCCTGGCAGGGATCACACAAAGTCTTCACAACGCTTGCTTCTGTAATCTTGCAGTGTGAGGATTATAGAATCTCCTTTAGATTTCAGACTTTCTGAGTATGGCTCAGAGTATTAACAGGTGTTCATGCCACGTGACACCGCATGTCTCAGTCACAAAGGAGAAGCAGCTTGCAGCAGCAAACAGTATTTGCCATTTCAAAGATCTAAGCAAATGCGCCAAGTCTGAACACATACGTTTTACCACATAAACATTTCCTTTTAGCTCATAAACCAAGTGTTTACACAGATACAGTTCCTAATAAGAAACCAGAGCTAATGAGAATTTTTCCAGGATAATATAAAACCAACAGAAAGACTTTCTGTCAACTGCGCAAAGCATGGGTCTCTACAAGAAAATCAACAGGCAGAAAGAGCAACAAAGGGGACCAAAACCTAATAGCATTCTATTGTCCCAACAAAAATAAGGAGGACTTGGAAATGACAAGCTGGAAAGACCCCCATTTCCCGCACTTACCTTGGCATTCAGCAGCAAGAACAGCGGATGGTCAGGAGTGGTATGAGCTCGCCACTGCAGCACATCCGCCAGGAACAGGAACTGCACACGGAGAGGATGGTTTGGCATCTGCACAGAATCTTGGGTGTTACCTGCCCCCCACCAGCAGCTGCCCAGTACCTTCCGAGCCTGGTCACTGTCCTCCAGGTGGGCCAGCTCTCTCCCAGAGGCCTGAGCAATCCTCTTTCCAGCAACCAGGTTCCCAACAACCATTGAGGCTGGTCCAACTTCTACAGACAGATTCCAGACGACAAGCTGGGAACTTCTAAACCATAACTGTTACATGACGCTACTTATGTATTAACACTTACTATTTCAAAACACACCTGAACTGGGTATTCAACTCTTTTCTTAAAATGTAAATGTTCAGATCACTCTTAAATACAAACTGTGTCATGTAACATAATTCTTGGGATGTTAACCAAATTATTAATGCTTTATATATTTTATGTATAAGTCAGAATTCTTGAAGCGTGATACTTAGTGATATTTTATGTGTTCAATAGTCAATAAAAGAAACTTAGCTTTTCCTATTTATGTAACCAAAGCAATGACAAACTGGATATAATAGTTACACTGGTCTTTACACTTAGTTTATGTTAAATCAGACACAGGAAACTGGCCCTTGAGAAACTTCCATTCCAGCAACCTAATGGCCACCAGAGGCTCCTTAGATTCCAGAGCCCACATCTGCTTATAGACATCATTTCTACCTCCAAGGAGCCACCCTTGAATTTACCATTAAAACTGGTCCTAACAGGCAGATAGAAACCAACAGGCAGGTGCACCATCAACATCCCCTTTTGTAGGAGCTGGGGCATATATACTGATCCTTAACCCCAGGCCCAGAGAGGCAGGGACTTACTATTGCAAGATCCAGAGCAGCCATGCCCCTAGCCAGGACTGCAGTCAACATCAATTCTAAGGCCAGACAGTCTTGTTATTAACGAAGACTAACCTGGCTGCTTCTGGCGAGGCTTGGGGAGGTTGGTGACACAGGTGTGAGGGCACATCAACACATTACACGGATGTAGCATCCCTTCCAGAAAGCGCTGCTTGGTTTCAGAAATGTGAATTCCTCCAAGAGGAGCCTTGGGCAAGGTGTTGGCAGGAACCAGGGCCAAGCAGTACACGCCCACCTGGTGGATGCTGTCGATGGCCTGGAAGGCAAGAACCCTGGCTGAGCACATGCTGCCAGCCCACTGTGAGGAGAGCTGGGAGAGGGTACCACACAGAACAGAAAACTGACGTGCAGAGGTCCAGGAGGCAGAGCGACCTCTAAACATCTCGTTAAACAATGAAGACAGAGAGTGCGCCTATTTCTACCATAAGACACAGAGTTTACACACACAAACACACAGACCTATGTAACTGCTTTTATTAAAAACACAAATCTCAGTAGCCACAAAAGCATGGTGAGGGCTCTAGGTGGGAAGAGGTGAACCAAAAATGGCAGAAGCTAGACATCCTAAACTTGGAATTATGTTTATATTTCAAATATAACCGACTTAGGTATAAAAAGCAATCCCTAATAACTGAAAGTAAACAGACTGTACTCAATCAGAATTGAGCTAGCAGCCTAGTTCAGAGGCTCGATTTAATGTGGCCTTAAACAGTCTTGATAGCTGATTCCCAGGGAGACTGTCCAAAGAGAGAAAGCTGCAAAATCATGTGAGCTGTTCCCAGCTCTCCTGTCTGGGGCAGGATAGAAACCACACTTGTGAGATGCCGGGGCCCAGTAGCCAGAAGTCATTGAAGGCTACTCCTAGCTGCTGGCCACTACATTGACAGGAGGACAGTGACTTTGACTTAAGAGGAAATGTATGGTCTTGAGTTTGAATAAGAACTCGCAGCATAAATCTAGGATACAGAGACTCTTACAAACAAGCTGGCAGATATTATTTTCTATTCTGTCTTCTGAAAAGGGCCAGGATGACGACTAAGCAATAACTAGTGAGGACTGCGTGATAACTAGTAAGGTCAAGTTCACAGACAGTGGCCTCCGATATCCCACTCAAGACTGGCAAGACAGGTACTCTTGTGTCTGGCCTAACTCTTCCTACTATGGCCTCAGAGACCTCAGGCTCTGTCAGGAGGCTCCCATTGACCCCTGAATGATAAAAGTCATGGCTACAACACATTGAAACAGACATTTGAACCCACTGATTCATGATGTAACAAACACGCCAACCCAGGGGACACCTTAAATTTAAGATGGACATCTTAAATCCATTCACCATCTTTCCTTCCTGCATGTCCTAGTTAGTGATGAAGAAGGACGGATGAAAACGTCACAGTGTGACTACCACAAAATCAACAGACAAGAAGCACAGGACATACGAGTGCCGGCAAAGGGGCACCCCGCACTCTGAGCCACCTTCAACAGGAGTCTCACCAGAAAACTGGCCTATTCCAATCAAGCCTCCAGACCCACTGAACAGGGACCACACAGACACATACGACATGACCGAAAAAGCATGGTCAAGCCAGACAGAGGAAACGCCATTCCACAACCTGTTTTCCTCAGAATCGCCACAAAAAATGACAGGGGTATCTACAGACCAGAAAGACCTTATCCCTACCAGTGTTGGAAATTCGTGCTGTTAATTTTAAGACGTGCTAACGGTATTTATTTATGCAGGTCACAGGAGGCGGAGCGATGGGAACACGGGGCTACTGTGTTTTGTTTACACTTGACAAATCTGAAACGCTCTCTAGCAGAACGAAGCGTGGCCTCTCCGGCTCGCGTGGCGCAGATACCCGGTTCACTTGTAAGTCTCCACGTGGCAAGGGCAACGACTGTCCCGCACACCCACCTGTAGCACTCTGCTCATCCACTGGAAACTGTCTTCCTCTGACGCGTCAGGCCGTTGCTCCGCCACCAAGACAATCCGGTCATCGTGCAGCACGGTCACGGAGAACACGGCGATCCTGGGAGAAGACAAAGCAAAGTGGCTACGCGGAAGGGCGGCGTTCTCCTCCCGGTGTGTCATACACATCCCTAATGGGAAACGCACAGAGTGACCTGTCGTCATCCTAACCACGGGAGCCACAGCCGGAACAGTTTCAATTCAAAAATGAAAACATTGCAGTGCCGAGCACACATTTTTAAAAATTTCTTTCTTGTTGTATTTACTTTTTTGTTTTCACATCCTGGCTGCTCTTTCCCCTCCCTCTTCCCCTTCCAGTTCCCCCCTCACCACATCCCCATTCCCCAGTCCACCCCTCCTCCATTTCTCTTCAAAAAGGGCAAGTCTCCCATGCATATATCCACTGCCATGGCATACCAAGTTGCAGTGAGACTAGGCACCTCTCTCCTATTAAGACTGGACTAGGATGCATGAATCTCACTGTGAAGGGGAAAACTTAATTCTAATGTTAATGTAGTATTTCCTTGTGAATAACTCTTTAAAAGTTTTACTTTGTAAACAAAAGATCAAATCCTTCAATAATGAGTTACTATTAATTGTGACTTGTTTCTACTACCTAACTTTACAGATTTCAACAAGTCCTCTTCCATTCATTTTTTTTTCATAAGGACTGGAGAGATGGTTCAGAGGTTAAGAGTACTGGCTGCTCTTCCAAAGGACCTGGGTTTGATTCCAAGCGTCTACATGGCAGCTGTAACTCCAGTCCCAGGGAATCTGACTCCCTTTCCTGGTCTCTGTGGGCCCCAGGCACACTTATGGTGCACAGGCATGCATGCAAAATACCCATGCACATAAAATAAAAACAAATTAACTAAAAAACACGTTGTCTACGTTTTCCTACAGCGTGAACATCGGGCAGCACTTGTGTCATCAGAGGAGCACTCTCAGGAGTCAGTTCTCACTGCCCGCCATGTAGGTTCCGGGGTTGGACTCTCTTCCTCTTCCTTTCTTGTGTATGTGCATGTGTGTGCGTGTGCACAGGCACCTTTTCCTTGTTTGTGTATGTATCTGCCTGTGGGTGCCTGTGTGCATGTGTGTGCATGTGCACGTGCACCTTTTCCTTCTCTGTGTATGAATCTGCCTGTGTGTGCATGTGTGTGCGTGTGAACATGCACCTTTCTTATTGTTTTGAACTAGCAAGGTCATCTCTATCTTCTCCCATCAAAGTTAAGAAGTTGGGTTTCCTCACCAAACCCCTCATACTAGAATATAACCACTCTAATTCTGTGTCATCTTAGACATATTTCCTTATCTTCTCCTTTAGCTAGAATAGCAACAAATTCTGTGACATAGGATACACACCCCACTAACATATTATTTTATTCAACAAGCTTTTCTCGGTGTTGTTTTCCTGACATTCTCCTTGTAGCATTCCTAAATTTACTTCCCTAACAGGTTGTTTAACTTTTCCAACAGCCATGACATTTATTGTGACAAAACTTCCACAATCCATATGCCTGAGATTCCACAAGTTAAAGGACAATATAGATAGGTACTGTGCTGTTTAGTTTTTTTGTCAACTTGTTACAGGCCAGGATTACCTGGGAAACGTCTACCAGACTGGCTTGAAGGCGAGTCTATTGAACAGTTTCTTAATTAATGATTGATGTGAGAAGGTCCAGCCCACTGTGGGTGGTGCCATCCCTGGGCATGTGGTCCTGGGTTATATAAGACAGCAGGCTGAGCAAGCCATGGACAGCAAGCCCGTGAGCAGTGCTCCTCTGTGCTCCCTGCTTCAGCTCCTGCCTCCCGGGCCCTCCCTCGAGCTCCTGCCCTAACTTTACACTGGGATAAACTGTGAGGTGTAGGATGAAAGAAACCATTTGCTCCCCAAGTTGGTTTTGGCCGTGGTGTTTACCACAGCAAGCTAGGCCAGGCACAAAATTTAGGTTAGAACTCGAAAACATCATTGCTTCGCCATCTTAGCAGATCAGTTCTGGGGTGGCTGGAAGTCTGTCACATTCGGCTTGGCGTCCCCATAGCTTACCAAGTAAGAACAGCTGGCCTCGCAGTCTAGAGCGTGCCAGCTTCCCAATTCTGCAGACAGCTCTGCAACTCCACACACACCCGCCTCCTGAGCTGCTAACTGGATTCCCTCCCTCTCCCCCATCCCTTTTCCTGGTTCTTTCAATTTTCTGCTTCTGTGTTCTAGAGTAGCTCCTCAACCTGACCTCTACGTTATTCATTATGCTCGTTCGTTGAGTTGCCTGTATTGCTCAGGTCCCAGGAAGGGACAGGCGGGCTACCCTGTCTGCAGAACAAACACACCCTGCATCAGTGAGTCACCTGGGCTGGCCTGACCTTACCAAGGCACTCGCCCAGGTACAGTAGGATGTGAGGAAGCCGTCTCCCCAACTCATTAAAACCAGGGGCATATACCCCTACTGAGAATCCCCCATGGACATCTCTACCTACAGCATCTGAGTTTCCACTTTAAGGGACAAACCATTGGTAAGGCATTTGTGCCCCAGGCTACCACCACCTTTTGCCCATCTGGTATGCCTCCCCAATTATTTCTTTAGTGCATGTTCAAAGGCAGGGCCTGGCCTGGCTCACAGGTACACTAACTGAAGAATAAAACTTTAGAGGTGGTTGGTTGGCCAGACCAAAAGGAAGGAGCTTCCTCTAGGACAAAGAACTCAGAGGATGGGAAGAGCTAGGCAAAATCCCTTCCACCCTTTCCCTGCTACGCCACAGGCCCAGAGGTACAGTCATCTGCTCAAGAAACAGAGAAAAGCTGAGGACACTTTTATTCCAGGAGCAATGGATATGTTGTGTCTCCCAAGACCTTATTAGAAAAAAGAATCTGCCCTCAGTAGTTCACAGAGTGGCACTGTTCTTTCAACCAGCATTCATGAGACAACTCACTTCTCAGCAGCTGGTAACCCTTTGTCCTTGTACCCAATCACATATTTGGACCTTACTCTATTTTTGAAAATTTTATTTATTTATTTGTTTTCAAGATAGGGTTTCTCTTTGTAGCCCTGGATGACCTGGAACTCAGAGATACGCCTTTCTCTGTCTCCCAAGACCATGATTAAAGGTGTGCACCACCATCACCCAGCCTCTTTTTGAAATTTTAATTAGTTTGTTTGTTCTATGTGGATATTTTGTCTGCACGTATGTCATGTGTGTACCTGGTGCCTGAGGAGGCCAGAATAGGGAGGGTGTTAAGATACCCTGGACCTGGAGTTACACCTTCCTAAGGGGTGCTGGAACCAAGTACAGGTCCTCTGGAAGAGCAGCCAGTACTGTTAACCTCTGACACAGCCTTTATTCTCTTATGGAACTGAACAAACTCTGGAAAATGAAGACATTTAACTCTGCTAACAATAACGCAAACCCTCTTTCTCTTTCTTTGGGTAACTTTTATGATAAACATAAATTTTCAAATTTTGCAAATTCAGGTTTCCTGGCTTTCCTCTACTACACAGACTTCCCAGATTTTAAGGACAGAAGAGAGCTGAAACCCTGGGGTAGGGACTACAGTGCATCACCTGCCTCTGTAGACAAACTTCATGGGCTCCACAGCCAGGGCGGTGGCTACAATGTCATCTGCATTATGTCTGCGCACTCCTACAACCATCAGTCCGTCCAGCTTGCCCACGACGAAGACCAGGTTATCCTGAGAAAAGGGTGTGGTCAGGCTTCGTGAGAAGGATTCGACAGGACAATCCTGTCCTCACACGGGGTCCCAAGAGTGATTGTATTCAGTAGTCGGTCAGGTGGAAGTGCCTACGTGGGTTAAGGGTGGTGCTGGAGGGTGGGAAAGGGGGTGTCAGGGCAAAGGGTTACAAAGTTGTGGGTGAGTAGGTGAAGGCCTCTGAGACTGCAACAAGGTAAGGCTCCTGGTGTGTTGTGTGGTCTGTGAGCTAGCCCATGAGCTAGCTGCAGCTACAGACATGGCCACATTATACTGCCGATACTAAGCAGCTCTTGACTGCAGAATCCACCATGGGAGCACTCCCCTCCTTGAGCTGTGAACCAATGTTTCTGGGAAAGGATAAATAAAATCATCTACCTGACAAAAAGGTGGGCCAAGGCGCTACAGAATGTATTCATTTTAACATATCTCAAACATCAGAACTAGGAAAAAATGATAAAAATGAAAACGTCTGTAGCTGGATAAGTGCTACATGCAGGTAAGGGACAGGCGGGGGACAGGTGGGGGACAGGTTGGGGGCAGGTGGGGGACAGGTGGGGGACAGGTGGGGGTGGTCAGCATGAAAGGCCAAGGCAGTGCAGGGAACCAAGGGACAAGAGGACATTTGCAATGAAGTGTTCCTTTTCTCCACCAACACTCTCTGCTGATGGACGGGTACAGGGGGTCATACTCACAGGCCCAATAAATCCCAGAAGGCCCGTCCTGGTGAAAGGCCGGTCAGACACGGGGACTCCATCTGCAGTGACCGGGACAGTCTGTCAGGACAGGGAAGAGGACATCAGGCAGCAGACAACTCAACGACTACTAGGAAGATAAGGTGGGCAGGCAGACCAAGAGTAGGTGCAGGCCTTCAAATGTCTCTTGGTGATGAAGCTCAGGGGGTGCAGGGTTTTAAAGACAAAACCCATAATGGCATCAGTGCTCGAGGGGGAAGGCATCAGCAAGAGAGCCAGGGCGGCCTAGTAGCGTCTGTCTTCTTGCAGAGCTCAGCAGTATTTTCCAAACACTACACGGCAACTATCTTTTATTTATACTTCCTCTTAATTATTTTTGTTTTGTAGCCTGCACAGACATTAATTGTTTTGGTTAATGCATTTGGACCACATGGGTCATGGACAGTTCCAGAAGCACTGCCAAGGTAGATGTGGCTACTGGAGGATGGAAGACTGAGAACTTCCTTAGCAGATACAAAATAGAGTTAGGGCAAGATGGTACCACCTTAGTCATTTCCCTAGTCATTTCAGATGGCACAAACCACCTGCAGTCCAGGGCTTAGTGTTCTATGGAAAAAACCTCCCAGGACACCTGGCCCTTCACAGCCCAATTCCTCATCTTGACTGCTCTACTGAGTGGATACACCACCTAAGCAGGACCCGAACAAGCCTCGTGTATTTGTATGCCTAGTTCCTGGCAGCACCTGTCCTTCTGAGACTTATGGATAACAAGGATCATAATGTGAACCCAGCTGAGTTCCTATTAATATCTTCTTGATGGCCAAAGCCATCTAGGCCTATGGAGCACATGAGTCGCTCTGGGTCCCAGTGGGCGTCTTGTAGGCCTCCGCTGCACTGTACCCTTGGGCCCATCAACACTCATGGGATTTGATTTCAAGATAAAGATCAGGAAAAGGATACAAACCTCAAATATATTCTTTGTGATTCCAAGCAGTCCATAATATGCCGTCCCAGTTGCAATAGAATTGACACAGATTTCTCCAATTTCATCAGTTTTACAAAGATAGGGGGCACCATCTACCTTCACAACACACGCACTAGCTAAATAGAGAAAAAAATTCAAAATCATCAAGGTATAGTCAAACAGATCATTCACAAAGGTTTACTTGCTCATATAGTTGTGGGGTGCTTTGTTTGTTTGTTTTGCTGTTTTTGAGACAGGGTCTCACTATGTAGCTCTGACTGGCCCAGAATTCTCTAGGTAGATCAGGCTGGCCTGGAACTCACAGAGACCCACCTGCCTCTGCCTCTCAAGTGATGGGATAAAAGGTGCACACCAGCATGCCTGGCATTATTGCTATATTTAAAGTTACAGAAACAAGACATTACATGTGCAGCAAGTTCTTCTAAGGAGGGTCATGGCATGGATAGTACTAATTAAGTACTCATTATAAGCAGTGTGAGGGCTAGGGTTATAACTCAGTGGTTAAATGCTTGCCTAGAGTATAAAATGTCCTGAGTCCACTGCCAGCATTAAACAGACACATGCACACGAATGCGTGCACACACACACACACACACACACACACACACACACAAAGGATGGGGGGGTCAGAGGTGATTAAAGAGTAAACTACATCTATGTAATATGCTCTTGACCAACAGAATCTCACTTTCCCAAGTCCAGGGAGATGATGTTTCCCAGCCCCACAGTAACACTCTCAGGTGTGTACACAGAGAGATTAAAGTCACAGAATAGTACAAATTACTACACATTGATATTGTGTAAGGACAAACGCTATGAGCAGCATCCCTGCTTCCAAGTGTCACTGAGGGCTTGAAGCCAGGCTCTGCCCCTATTCCTCAGTGATGCTTTGTTTCTTTGAGTGGGCATCCCAACACCCCTTCCCACTGCCCTGCCTCAAACCAGCAGGAGGACCAGCTTCTGCAGGAGGAAGGTGCAGATGCACTTGGTTTGGTTTTTTGTTTTTGTTTTGAACCTATAGGTATATCTGGGAGGTTTCTACATCTCCCGTCACCACAAGTGCATGCTACAGCCAACTCAGGTGACCTCATCATCCAGGCATTTGTAGCATCAGCTTTTCTGAGGCACCACTGCGTGAGGCTAAAGGACTATGCCTGGCACACAGTGAGCGCCCCGGCGCACCTGGCACACAGGGAGCGCCCCGGCGCACCTGGTGCATTTGAGCTCTTGCCCTTCTGTCCGTCAGTGCAGGGGTGGATGCCCTCTGATTGTTTCTTACCTCCAGGCATCACCTGGCCAACATCCTGAACAGTGAGGACCGACAGCTTCTCCTCAGTGTCGACTCTGATTACACCGTAGCTCAGGCCATTCATCGACAGGACAGCTTTTCTTGGGGGAGGTCCTCCCAGGTCTGGGGGCCTAGAGAACGAGAGCACCAGCATGCCCGTTGACAAGGGCTAGCACTCCGAGGAAGATGGCCCTCACTAAAGTGCCTGCTTGGTGTATGGACTTGTGGGAATTATGTGTTCTGAAATTCACGTGCCTCTCTGCAGCATGGCCTCTTCTCACTAGAGGGAGGCCCACGCTAACAGGGAAAGTGACACTATGTGACAGGCCATCAGAGGCGACTCAATTTCTATCTGGTCTTCTTGTGACCCTCACATGGAGCCCTGGGGTATCCAGGTGGGAAGACTACCTGGCCGAGGCCACTGTGCCGCAATGGGCTATGAAACTGTGCCTGTGCAGAGCTGGCTTAGCCCCATCAAACCTATGAAACAACTCCTCCACACAGCAGCTGGCCTGACGGCTTCCCAAGACGTGGCCCATTCAGTTTGTGAAAGATAGATGTTGCTCTTAATGCTATTACTAAAAACCAGCTACCTAAAACTTACATATGTGTAACCACATACTGCCTTTAAATTACGAGCCTTTAAATTACGAGCACAATGCATACACAACCAGGGCTGAGGCAATTCTATTGCAATGAGTTGAGGGTAGAATGCTAACAAAGATGTCCTCTGCTGTGAGCATGTGACCTGAAGCCCCATAGAACTGTGCTCAAGGGCAACAGTAACAGGTGATTCATGATGGGGGAGGAAAGCGCCTTTGAGCCTAGTTGTTGTGGTCAGGGAGCGACATGGTGTGCAGAGAAAATATCGGAAGGAACCTGAGGCCCAGATACTAGGGCACTAGATATAGACAGGAGTGGGAGGCTCTTAGAGCAACCTCAACCTCCTACTCCGAGGTGTAAGATGTGACACGAGGGAACTATCTATGAAGCAGCTTGGGTCTTCATCTTCAGAGGTTAGGATGGCTGGATGCTTCTCTTGGCAAGTTAGAGGTCCTCTTCAGTGGACCTCCACAGCCGAGAAGAAGCTCCCTCAGAATAACAGACTGTGGTTCAGTTATAACTTTTACATATGACCCGGCCTGAAATGGCAAGATCTTGATTGGGAAGAAGTGTAAGGAAAGTAAGATTGGGAGAATCCAGCGTACTCCAGGAACCCACTACCAAACTCCCAGCATGGATCTAGACTGGTGAGGGGCATGGAACTGCATGGAACTGTAGGCTGCACCCCTGCTATCCCAGGGAGACTGGAATGCTGATGGCAAGTCCTTCTTCAGGACTCCCAGTAGTTAGAAACAGATGACAAACCTGGGGCCATAGGTAACTCTGTCATATGTGAGTTCACAAGAGGCGGCACGCAATTTAGTTACCTGCGGATGGCTACTGTTAGCGCCTCGGGAGAACTGGCACAGGGACAGATGACCTCCGGCCTCAGACCTCTGGACTGGAAGACGTTGAGGAAGGCATCACAGGAAGATATTGACCCTGCGTACAGCAATGGAAGTGGAGTGTGAGCGGTAACTGGAGGACCAGCTACAGCTCCTAGCAGTAGCCTTAGAGATGTGTGAGCTACACACTTCCCTGAGGATGTCCTGCCTCTCCCTACGTCCTCTCTTTTGGGTGGACTCCTGTCATTCAAGGGTGGCGGGTCTTAACAGTGGGTGTTAGAGATAATGCAAACTTGGCAACAAGGAAGCTCTGCCTGTTCTGGGCTCAAACAACTACAGCCATGTTGACCCTAGGGTTTCATTATAAACCTCTCCCCACAAGGGTATATATAAGGGAAGGGGGCATCTACAGGAGCCTCTGGGCTTCATTTCTTCAGGGAGAGAGGTGTCTCCCAAGAAAAGAAGACAACAGATTGTTCCGTGTTACTAATACTGGATACAGCCTCACAGCAGACCGATACATGAGCTGTAAACTAAGGCCCATGAAGGGAAAGCTAGCTCTGTGGCATCTGGAGGATGATGGATGGAGTGAGGAGAGAGGACAAAGCAATTAGGGTCCCCAGAACAAAAACACCGGAGGGAGTGATGTGTTCAAGTGACCCGAGTACAGCTGAGCGCATGAGCGGAGCTAGGGCAGCTGGGGCCTTGAGCAGGCATGAGCAGCCGTGGATGGGAAGGAGATGCCTAGCTTGGCTCGGGTGTGCACCACGAGAACCAGAGGCTCTTACAGATGCCCCTGCTCTCTTCTCCTGAAAGACGAGGATAACCCCTTGCTCAACAAGTGTCACTTGAGGCTCCCCTAGAGGACACCTGACCTTGGCCTGAGACAGTCCTGGGCCTAAGACGCTCACACAGCCACTAAAACAGCAGCTACATCCAGACTGTTGTTATACACAGGAGGATCCCTGGTGCTTAGGCAGCAGCCACGAGGCATTTTTCCAGGAGGACTTAGGGTTGGTCAGAGACGTATAGAGGAAGAATAGCTGGGTCCTTCCAAAGGAAGTTGGGGCTGAGCATCAAATAAGTGGAAACCTAACACTAAAGGGTAGGAGGCTGGGGAGGACCATAGCAAATCACAGACCCTATTATAGCATAATCCGGTGATTTCTTAAAAACAATGGCACTCATTAAAGGTTTTGTCAACTGTGTTAAGATTGTTTATAAATTTAGTGTCTTAACAAATACGATGAGACCCACCAGTGAATGAACAAGAAACAGCATGTCACAGAACATTATAGGACACTTATCAAAGCAGTGATAATGCTTTAATGTTGGTCGGCGGTTCTACTTCAACAGGTTGTTCAAGTCAAGAATCACGGGAGCAAACACTGCAAATCCCCCAGGTGACAGGCTACTCACATGGGTTAGCGCCATCAGCCACTATCAACATGCGCAGAGAGCTCAGACAGACGTCCCTCTGACCTCGCTGCGCCAAGAGAGACCAGTGCATATCTCGGGACTTCACCAGAGCAGCCTGAGCTACAAAGAGAAGGGGATACAGATGCCTCTGTGTCACGAGGCCAGGAGCCCTCGCACCCCAAAACACTGCTGTACTTCATTCTGTGCAGAGCTACACATGCAGAGGGCAAGGGACCACTGTATGGATCATACTCTTGTCGATGATCCATAACTGTTATCAGCTACCTCATGTGCTTCCTAACCTACTCCATCCCTTTTCCCCTTAACACTTAGTCTTGAGATATGATTTAGATGTAATATACTCCATTTCCCAGCCTTTGGTTTTTTTATATTTTACATGTATGGGCATTTTGCCTGCATGTATGCCTGTGTACCACAGACATGAAGAGCTCACAGAGGCCAGAAAATAGCATGAGTCCCTGCAACTGGAGTTACAGATAGATGTTAGCTGCCATACGGGTGCGGGAAACCAAACCTGGGTCCTCTGGAGAAGTAGTCAGGGCTTTAACCTGAGACATCATTTCTCCAGCTACAGCCTTTTTTTTCCCCCGAGACAGGGTTTCTCTGTATTATTTTGGAGGCTGTCCTGGAACTCACTCTGTAGACTAGGCTGGCCTCGAACTCACAGAGATCCGCCTGCCTCTGCCTCCTGAGTGCTGGAATTAAAGGCGTGTACCACCAACACCCGGGCAGCTCCAGCCTTTTAAAAAGTTGATTTTTATTATTTTGTTACTCTGTGAGTATGGGCGTTTTGCCTGCATGTATGTCTGGGCACCACGTGTGTGCCTGGTACCCTTGGAGACCAGAAGAGGCCACAGGATGCTCTGGAACTGGAGTTTCATGCAGTTGTGAGCCACCAAGTGGGCATTAGGAATTGAACCCGAGTCCTCCGGAAAGAGCAGGCAGTGTCCCCAACTCCTGAGTCACCTCTCCAGTTCCCCAGACTCTTTTTTAATTAAGTTTTATCTCATGCTGCATGCTGTCCCTCCCCAAGGGGCTGACCCTTGCTTTGTGCCCCCATTGCCACTATGTCACTGGCATAAGGGGAAATGAACTTGGATTTCTTTTTAATTAATTAGTTAGTTAATTAATTAATTAGTTTATTTATTCTTCCCTCATATGTTACATCCTACAGTTTCCTCTGCCTCCTCTCCTCCCAGTCACCCCCATGTCACCTCTCCCCCAGATCCACTCCTTCTCCATTTCCCTTCAGGAAAGAGCAGCCTCCCGGGGATATCAACCAAACACGACATAACATGGTACAAGACTAGGCACACACCCTCATATCAAGGCTGGACGATGCAACCCAGTAAGCGGAAGAGTCAGAAGCAGACCCCACTCCTACTATTAGGAGTCCCACAAGACCACCAGCCTACACAATCGTAACACATGTAGAGGACCTAGGTCAGACCTACACAGGCTCCCTGATTGCTAGTTCACTCTCTGTGAGCCCCTATGAGCCCTGCTTAGTTGATTCTATGGGCCAAGTTCTTGAGGTGTCCTTGACCCCTCCGGTTCCTACAATCCTTCCTCCCTCTCTTCCACGGAATTCCCTGAGCTCCACCTCATGTTTGGCTGTGGGTCTCTGCAAGTGCTCCTATCAGTTGCTGGATGATGAAGCCTTTCTGGTGATGACTATGCTAGGTTCTGATGAGCCAGGATCTGAATGGACTGAATCAGCCTCAATGAGTGTGCAGAGATTAGTGAATCCCACTCCCTTCAACCAGGCTTTGTCTTCCTCCATAAAATAGGACACAAGACATTCGTAATAGGAATGCCGACTTGGAGATATGACTGCAGAGTATATATTGTCACTGGCACTGGACGGGTATGGCAGATCAGAGTCTTGGGAGCTGCTCATGTCTACTGAACAGGGACAAAGGGTGTGGAGCTGTGCAGTCACCAGTCAGCAGGGATCCCTGTTTGGTGCTGGGAAACACCAGTGGAAGGTAAGAAGAACAGGGCCCAGGCCTCACAGGTGGCCTTCCTCATCCCTTCCATCCTGCCTGTCATAGACCTTATCATTTGAACAACAGCCTTGTTACCAGTGGCTTTAAAAGCTCCAACTCAGATTATATGACTAGGAATGTTGATGCTATTGTGACGGAAACTTCAAAAGAATCAACTTAGGAGTTCTCAGTCTTCTAGTGACGGGTGAACCCAGCTACTCCACTGCAAATAGCTGTCCAGACCGTGAGCAGATTGGGACCAGGATAGTCCACAGAGGCATCCCAAGATGGCTCTCCAGTCTACACTTGCAGTTCCGTGTGTTGCCTTCATGTTTTCTTAATTACTAAAGATCAGCTCAGAGAGAATTCTTTAAAGAAAGGCGAGGCCCAGGACAAACTTCCTGGGCCCACAGGTACTAGGGCAAAGGAGAACTGGCACCATCTACCCTTTCAAAGTGTTTTAGTTACTGGATCAATGGAAAAAAGAGTATTAATAAAACAAGCTACCTCTGGAAAAAAAGGAAGAAGAAAGAAAGGTAAGGCAAGCAATGGCAGTTTTCTGCTACCTTTATAGGAACACACTTTCTGAATCCAGGAGAGTGGGTTGACCTTCATCAGTGCATAGGGGATGCTGACGACATGCATCCTATTCATGACACTCTGCAAAAGAGAAATGGACCGACTCAGGGGGAGGGAGTTAATCTATGCCAGGGCAAGCAAACCAAGCCCAACAAACTGCTGTATCAGCATTTCACAGATTTGGATCACCTCTCACTCCCACCCCAGTCACTAGCAAACAACACTCACTGTTAAGACTCCATGCCACAAACCAGCATCCCTTTTGAAGTCCAGCACATTCGTTAATGTTTCAGCTGAAAGCGGACACAGAAAGTTAAACTGATGAACAGCATTTTTAAGTTCTGCACACCTGTAGAGCCATCTCAAGATGAGTACATAACCAGCACACAGACATGGCACTTCCAAACACCATGCACCAGTTAACACCCAGCTAAACTATCCATTCAGATGGCTAGAAACACACAGTTCTGGACTGGAGGAGAGAACCATGCCAATCTTCAATTCAAAAGCACAAGGAACACTACATACAGGAGAAGCCAAGGAAAGGTCATTGCATGATTCCATCATTTTTGAGTGGCTGCCACTCAGAATCAAGAGGCAGGATGACAAACTGCCATGGACACTCTTATTTCTCAACTTTCTATACAGTGTCCCCAATTTTCACACCCACAGTCTATAGTCTTGCTTTTACTAGCACAAAACAGTGACATGCATGCCAGAAATATTGCTGTACTATGAAAGGCAATCTCCCTGTTCTTGTTAGCAGAAGAGCCAAATCAAAGGGGGGGTATGAATTAAATAATTAGCACTAGATCTAAAGAACTCATAGGACTTGGTTTTATAGCTCTTTTAAAACTCATTAAAGTCCTTGAAATCCTCCCCCCAATCTTCACAAAGTCTTTATAATTAAATCATCAAGCTAACCCTTGGGATTAAACATTCAAATTTTATGTATCTAAATATGCCATCCAATTTTACTTTCTAGTTTTCCTCAATTCCAGTTTTGTAATGTAAGAAAACTACCATGAGTCCAATTTTAGTTTTTAAAGTAATATATTTCATATTGATCTCCTAAATATAAGCAATTATTATCTATCAATACAAAATGATATTAGTTTAAAATGCTAGCCATAAACTGGGGGCTGCTTCTACTTCAACAATGATAACCTAAGATCATAAAGATTATACTTAAGCATTCACATGCATGTTGCTCAAGTCACAAATACATTTACTGAAAACGAAATAATTAGCAGGAAAGGATGTTCCAGGATGAGTACATTCCGCTTTTTCTAATGCAGAATGCACTGTCCTTCAGTAGATCAACTGATCCAGGTGGTTATGCATAAAGGAATCACTCGTGCACAAGTCTCATACTCCATAAATCAGTGTTAGCATGACTTTACTGAAACTGTGCAAAGTGGGGCAGCCTTGGATCCATAGAGGGGCACCTTATACCCCCAGTCCTGCATAAGCCAAGACCTTCTCCCAAGGACACAGGTAGAAGCGGCACCCCCGGCCTGGTGCAGCTGCATTAAAAGTTAATGTGCCATGCACAGGGGAATGTGCCATGCACAGTAACAGAGTCTAGGGTGAGACCAGGGAAGCCCAATGCCTGTGCAGGCAGCAAGAGCTGCAGTCCTGAATGTATGCCCTTACCTTCCATGTACCCGCATGCCTGGGTCAGAGCCTGGCACTGTGCCAGCAGGGATGAATGTGACACAGTGACCCCTACCGTGCTGCCTTCTTTGCTGGTTTTATACTGCAGAATTTCAAGGAAGAAAAACAGTGATACATATTTCTATAAACACACCAGACAGAGGAGGCTGAGGGCCCTTAAAGAAGCAGCTGGAGTCCTCTCTCCCTTATTACCACCCAAAGCCCTTTCCAGCCTAGTTCTTAAGGGACCTGGGACAGTGCTTGGGGACAACAGTGCACACAGCTGCATCATAACTGCCTGCATCCTAGGAAGGGCAATTAGGGATGAATTAGGTCAGAGTGAAACTGAAATGACCCAAGTAAGGTTCTATGTGACACTTTCTATATCTGGGGTAGAGGTAAAATAAGAACACTTAGTCTAAAGAGTATTAAATGGTTGTCTTTTTTTTTTTTTAATAAAAACCAGGTCCAAGACAAGAGGGATGTATCGTGCACCCAATGAGCATGCCCTTACTTCAATGTAGGCAGTCCCGGACCCCGTGTCCTGAGCCAGCGGGTACCAGTCTTTAGGAGGCTTGGTGAGATGCTTTCCATCAATTACCAGCCAGGCGAGGGGGGGCCAACCTATGACAACAAACAGGACAAGGGTGAAGGGTGGTCAGAAGGCTTTGCTCCACATGGGTGGAACCCAGGCCCAGCATGGAGTCACCGGCCCCAGGGGCTGTGGGGGTGAAGTTTTATTTTCATTTCCTTTTACTTAAATAGATAAGCATGGAGCATAACAGGCGAAGATACCGAATCAGACAAAAGCCTTGAGCGAAGGATTGTTTTCCTAAAGCCCACCAGGCTCTGTGGGGTTAGTTCTGCACAGCGTGGCTAGAGGCAAAGTCGTACTGCAGCCAGAGCACAGACTTCCTGAGACCTGGGTCTCACCTTTGAAAGTTGCCACCTCTCCTGTCGGTGCCTTGGGAAGGCCCTTCTGGCAAGCATCCGTGGTCAGGGCCAGGGTCACCCCACAGCTGCCCAGGAGAAAGCCAACCTGCTGGCTGCCTGCGTCCTGCAGAAGACAGAGCAATGGCAGCAGAGGTGGAGTCGCCTGGGAAGGGGCAAGAGCCCGACCACAGCAGCTCAGGCTCTGACTCTCCCACCCCTCATAACACTTTAAACTAACCCAGTCTTACTATCGGCGGCTTGTTCTATTACACGAAAACAAGACAATTAGCTTGGAATTTAGGAGGCATTTCTTTGTTCTATTTGCAGTGAAATGTATAAAGATGGGGATAGTGGACTAATTTCTTGAAGTTTATTATAAGTGAAACTTGAAAACGCTTTAATTAACTCTAAACACAACAGCAGTTTATATCATGTTTGGAACTTACAAATGACTCTGGAGGCCTGCCCTTGTCATTTTCGTCACTAGACACAAAAACCTTTTCCTTCACTGGGATCTTCCATTATACTTGTCCCTTAGCAATCACCATCATTTCCTTCCAGCTTAACAAATCTTTTTTTTTTGTAAGATTGATTGATTTGTTTGTTTGTTTGTTTATGTATATGGTATTCTGTCTGCATGTATCCTTGCAGGCCAGAAGAGGGCACCAGATCTCATTACAGATGGTTGGGAACCACCATGTGGTTGCTAGGAATTGAACTCATGACCTCTGGAAGAGCAAGCAGTACTCTTAACCTCTGAGCCATCTCTCCAACCCCTAAGCTTAACAAATCTTAAAAGCTTTTCTTTTTTTCTCTAAGAATCACTGTATTCAAGTGCATGGTTATCAGTTAGACCCCTGGAGATACACTGGTCTTATTTATGCATTTTATGTTTAGTATTCTTGAGTATTTGTTACTCATAACGTTCATGCTGACAAATGCATGGACACAGAAGTAAGTAGATTGAAAAGCCTGACTTTCTAGAACACATGACCATTATGCTCAGTATTTTTCAATAATCAGGCTACTGATATTCATATCCAAAATGGTTCAGCCATCCAGAGCAACCGAGTCCCTCCATTAACAGCTTATGAATGAAAAACTGCCTGCCATGTAAGCAAACAAGAAATGCATGAGAACTTCTGTTCTGTCTATCTGACATTATAATTAATTCAATAAATAAAACCCCAGAAAAGCTTGTTGGGTCACAAATTCTGTTCAATGGAGGACAAAACCTTCATGGTTTCTTTTGGGAAATTCAGACAGATGAAGCGGCAGCCCCGCCCACCAGAGTGCAGCCGTGTTGTGGGGGAAACTCCATCCAGCTGCTCTCTAAGATGCAGGGCGGCCTGTGAGATACTTGCCTCCCCCAAGCACCTGCTTAAGCCAACAACAGCCAAGTGTGAAGAGGAAGCTAGTCACACCGCACCCTACAGAGAAATGCAGGGGCACTGTGTCCTGGGCCTGAGCCACATCTGTTACCTTTCTTGTCAGCGGCACTTCTATAGGCACAGGAACCAGCTCCGCCAGGAGACACCCATAAAATGCAACCATGAACATTACAGGATCACTATTGGGAAACACAAGTGCCACCTATAAGAGGAAAAACAACAAAAACTGTGAGACCTCAGGAATGATTGAGGCTTTTCGTCTTTTAGAATTTCTGTTGGTTAGATAAAAATTAGATAATTTATGTTTTGGGGTTTTTTTATCCCACAGTTTAGAAAATCTACTTTTGATCAAGGATACATAGAGATAACTGTCTCAAAAAAATCTAACGTTGGTATTCATTCTTGTCCTTCAAATTTCCTTATTCATATAACTTTGAATAAACAGTTGTGGGTGGTAGCCTTTACTATACAGTGAACAAAATACTTTTGAGTTGTAGCTAAGGCCGTCCAATGCATGCAGACTGAGAGCCAGATCTAATACTCACTCATATTGACTGTCACTATCAATGAACAGTCTCATCGGCAGGTTTGGTGGAAAGTGCCTTAATCCCTAAGTCATCTTGCTAACCCAATTTTCATATTTTGAAACACTTATTTCCTTGCATTCTGTTTAAAAAAATTTAGGTATCTAATTTATTTCCTATAATCATATGAATATTTATTTGGGTTCAACATAATCCTGTCATTGAAAATTACTATCTGGCCAAATCCATAGTTGTTTATGGAATAAAATCTTGTGCCAAGCGGTGATGGTACATGCCTTTAATCCCTGTACTCAAGAGGCAGAGGCAGGCGGATCTCTGTGAGTTCAACACCAACCTGGTCTACAAATCAGGACAGCCAGGGCTACACAGAGAAACTCTGTCTGGAAAATAAAAACAAAACAAACACCTTCCCCCCACCTCAAAATTGCAAGATCCAAATATAGTAACTGGGCACGTAATCATAAGTAACAGCCAAAACAGTACTTTACCGTGAACTTCGAGAAGACAAACAGTGGCTTACCTTAGCCCCCAACTTCTAAGACAAAATTTAAGCTATGTCTATTTTCCTTCATTCCGTACTTCCGGTTTACAAGCTGTATATCTAACAAGTTTGTTGAAAAGAATACCCTCTCCTTCTAACGATTACATCTTCTCATTCTTAGCATTATAACAAATAAGCATCTTCCCCATTTTTAACATTAAACCTCTTGTTTCAAAACTATAATTCTAAATAACTGATAGAACATCAATGTCAATAAGATATATATTTAGGTCTCTATTTTAACTCAATTCAATGACGTTATATTTTGGCTACTTACTCTGTCTCCAGGTTTAAGTAGTGGTTCATTCTTACTAGTCAGTTTATTAATTAGAGTATAAGCTAATTTTAAACTCCGACTCCAAAGTTTTCCTGAAATAAAACAAAAGTAATAGTCAATGTTAAGTTCTAAGAAACCAACAGTTAACATTTACTGTTGTGAGCATGTGTCCTACAGCTCACCCTAACACTTAATGTATATTGTTGAGAGCACACGTCCTACAGCATACCTTTTCTCTATCAGTAGATTCATTTTCCAACTATTAACTACTTAGTGTAATATCAACAGGAACATCACAGCTTTCTCTCAAAAAAAAAACAACCTAAATTTATTTTTATTTGGGATTTTATTACACAAATCAGTGAGCAAAAAGGCCAAACTATGTATATGCATGTATACATATGTACATGAATACGCAGATGCCAGTTGACTCCTTAAATTCTGGTGGTGCGGCCTGGTAACCATGTTCTCTCTCTGAATGAATGCTCATATGCAAATAATACTGAAGTAGGTGCTATGCTGACATGTGTGAGCTGTGAATCCTGAGAAATCAGAGAAAAAACTGAACTCCAAACACGGCTCCAACCTGCTTTAAAAGATCAATTCAGTATGTTAACAATGCACACACATTTCCCAACTGAATCTAGCAGTCTGTCATGAATAACGCTTCATGTCCAAGTCAGTTTTACCCCAAGAATACAATCTCTGAGACTATCAGCATAATTGGCCATGTTAATGGAACAAAAATGAAAAAGTAATAATCTCAAAAGGTAGATGAAAACCAATAGTTACGCACAATTTCTAAATGACTATAAAAGATTAAGTCCTTAAACCGGGAAAGAAAGGAAACAAACTTTCTGAATATGTTAAAGGGTATCAATTAAAACCTGACAGGAGCTCTCCCAGTCATGTTAGATAAAAGCACCTTCCTCTGAGAGCAGAGGCAGGGCAGGGACAGCTGCCTTCAACATCAGTAAGATCAGTAAGAAGATAAAATAACTGGAAATAAAACTGTTGTTTCTGGATGTTATGATTCTATAGTTCATGAATCTTTTATAATTGAATTTAGTAAGGCTGCCAGATTTATCAACATATAAACACCACTTGATTTTCTAAGACAGAACAGAAGTTACAGTACTATTTAAATATTTAAGACTCAAGTGGCATAAGAAACATAAAAGGCTCTCTATAGAAAATTACAAATCAGGGGCCAGCAAAATGGTTCAGTGGGTAAAGGTACTTATTGCCAAATCTGACAACCCAAGCCCAGTCCCTAGAACCTGCATGGTGGAAAGAAAGAGGTGACTTCCACAAGTGTCCTCTGACCTGTGTGGATGCCGTGAGATGCATGGTTGCACATGTACACACAGTTCAAAACGAAAGAAAACTTGTATCACATTATTGACAACGAAGTCTCAAAAATGCAAAGATGTTAATTCTCATCATGGTTCAAAGCCCAGCAAGGTCTCCACTCAGAGACACTCAACAAGCTACTTCTAACACAGACCCCGAAACACACAGAGCAGGAAGAGGCAATATGCCCTCCGAGAAAAGAGAGGGAGATCCTATGGTGTCAAAACTTGTTACAGAAAGCTATGGCATCTACAGTGCAGTCAGGCCAGGTGTAGGTGGCGCACGCCTTTAATCCCAACACTCAGGAGGCAGAGGCAGGTGGATCTCTATGAGCTCAAGGCCAGCCTGGTCTACAGAGAGTTCCAGGTTAGCCAGAGCAACATAGTACGACTCTGTCTCATAAAACAAAGACAAACAAAAAACAAAGTCTGCCATCTGGGCGTGTTTTCTGCCTTATAACGTGGACCAACTACGGGGTCTGTTGAGGTACATGCACACATGCACAACGGTGTGAGGTCAGCGGGTCGCACGATGCTCTCTGCTGATACTTGCCATAGGTGAGCGTGTAGGTGGCTTTCCCAGATGTATCCAAGGCAGTCAGACAGGGGGCTTTAGGCTGTGTTGTGCCCCAGAGCTGCAGTGCGGCCAGCAGAGACGGTGGCCCAGGAGTTCCCACCGACAGAGGCTCTCCCTGCAGCACCGCCATCTGCTCGCCCTCGGGCTTGGGCTGATTTGGATCCGGTTGTTGAACTATAAAGCAACATCAAGATTTTAAACCGTACATTTCAGAGTACTGTGTACACATCTGTTTACGAATGACTGTTCTCTGTGACTTCAATTTGTAATCAAATTTATTCAAGAACTGACAGTAATCTGCTCAGATTTTGTTTGCCCTCATTGTAGCCACAGACGAATTAATCAAGGAAAAGTTGGTTACAGACAATAATTTTGAGATAAAAACCACTCACAGTCTTACTAAGCACAACCTCATGTGATAAAGCCGACCACAGGATAGCATTTCTGCTTTCCTCCCTGGGGGATGCAGTGTGGCATGGTGGAACCCTGCAAAGTGGGAGCAGGAAGGCTTTAGAAAGCCTGAGAAACAGGCTAGAGACTGGTTCGCTTTGGATCAAGGGAACAGAACCACCTCTGCAGTCGGGCATCAAAACCACCAGCAGGGGCGCTAGAGAGGCCACTCTGCAGTTAAGAACGTTGTTGCTCTTAGGTCTCAGAATCCATTAACTCCAGTGGCGGGGAATCATGTGTCCTCTTCTGACCTCCACAGGCACCAAGCACACACATGGTACATACACATACATGCAGGCAGAACACTGACACATAAAACGAATAAGTCACAAAAACATGGAAGACCAAGTCAGGGAACTCTACCTTCCAGTAATTCCTCAAAATCATCCACAAAGAACTCCTTCAGGGGAGGGCGCTTTGGCCTCTTGAGGGTATTTAGCAGCTGCTGGATTTTGGAGGACACTCTGCTGTTCACGGGCACACCTGCCAAGGGAGGAGCAGAGAAGGACTGAAGCTGTGGCATGCCACACCCACCAGGGCATGCACTGGGTGAGAGGTCTGATGACAAACTGTAAGTGTAGCAGACCTACAAATCCAGCCAGGCGCTGGCCTCCCTGTCACTGCACACTGTGCTAAGCCATTTGACAAGCATTTACGGATGCCTCTCGGGAAGCAGGATCTGATTACAAAGTAATCCAGAAACCCCCCCCGGGGGGGGGGGGAGGTAACTCCATGGTCCTTTCAGAGCACATGAGGTCAAACTCACTGCACAGTCTTATTAGAATATAGTCTGTAGATACTAGAGAAATGGCTCATCAGTTAAGAGCACTGGATGCTCTTCCAGAGGACCTGGGTTCAAGTCCCAGCACCCATGTGGCAACTCGAAACCAACCCTGGAGGACCCAACACCCTCTCTTGGCCTCTATTGGCACTGCTGGGAGGTAAATGGGTCATGAGGACTGTTGTGGCTTCAGTGAGGAGAGTTTCCCAATGGTTAACTATTTGAAGACTTGGTCCCCAGTTGGTTTTATCTGGAGAGGTTATGGAATTCTTAGAACCTTGCTAGAGGAAGTATGTCTGTCACTAGGGGACTTGAACCTGGGTCCTCTGTAAGAATCAGTCAGTGCTTTTAACTGATGAGCTTCCAGTCCCTTCTGCCTGCTGCAAGCTTCCCTGCCCTTATGGACTCTAGCCCTCAGGAATGGTAAGCCAAAACATACTCTTTTTTGCTCTTGGTTGCTATGTTTTATCACTGAGACAGGAAAGTAACTAATACTAAGCTTGAGCCCACTGATGACCTCACAGCTAAATGTGCTACAGGACATGGGGCATAATTAGAGGAAGTGGGTCATCAGGATACTTAACTTTAAAGATGTATCGTTTCCCCAGACCCTTCCTCTCTGGCCCTTCGCTTCCTGGCAGCCATGATAACACATATTCTCACCACAATTATCAGCCTGGCCTCAAGCCAACAATGAAGGGGTCAAGTGACCAAGAATTGAGACCTCTGAAACCATGGGCCAAAACAAACCCTTTCTCCTTGGGTATTTTGCCAAACAATGAAAGTTACCATACTCTATCTTAGTGTTCTACTGCAAGACCAAGGCAACTCTTAGAAAAGAAAGTGTCTATTTGGGGACTTGCTTATAGTTTGAGAGGCTTGATTCTTAATCATCGTGGTGGGAAGCAGACAGGCATGGCACTGGAGCAGTAGCTGAGACTCTACACCCTGATCCACAGTCAGCAGGCAGAGAGAGAGAGAGAGACTGGGCCTGCCGTGACCTTCTGAAACCTCAAAGTCCACCTCTAGTGACACACTTCCTCCAACAAGGCCACTCCTACTTAAATAAGACCACACCTCCTAATCCTTCTACTCCACAAACAACTCCACTTCCTGGTGAACAAGCATTCAAACACATTAGCTGATCGTGTCCAGGCTCATTCAAATCACCTACTATATAACAAATAAACTCAGATCACTTACTGCTATACCCCTCCATCTTGTACCTCCTCTTAAAAGATAACCGTTCTTATTGCTTCCTGATTATCCTTCCTGTGTCCTACTGCAAGGAAGTGCAGATATAGGCATGGTTTTCTTCTTCTTTCTTACACAGATGTGGAAGACTAGGAATGTCCCTTGACTCTGCTCCCCCATTTAACAACACCTAGAGAAGCACTTTCATACAGTTCACAAAGATCCTTCTCATCCGTTTTGACAAATGTGCAGTACTCTACAATGTGAACCTGCTAGCTTTATTGAGCCCATTTATGGGGTTTGGATAATTTATGAAGTTTCTAATATAATATAATTAAAGCCAGTGCTGTAACTTATAACCATGTACACGTTTGTTTCCTTATTTTTGGAGGAGAATGTTCAGAGAAGATTCCTGATGGGGGAAGTCCTTCTGTGTATATGTTTGTCTGATTGGTTGATAAATAAAGCACTGTTGGCCAATAGGGAAGCAAGATAGGTGGGACTAGGACTCGAGGATGATTCTGGAAAATGTAGCCAAGAGTAGAGAGTTGCCATGTGATCCCAGGAGAAGAGGGCGCAAGTCTGGCGTTCTCGGTAAGATAAGACCTTATAAAAACATATGTTAGGGGTTATTAATTAAGTCAGAGCTAGCCAGTAAGAAACCATAGCAAACAGCCAACAGCATTATAATTAATATAGTGTCTCGTGTGTTACTTGGGGGCAGAGACAGTGGCAGGACCCAGGCAGCTGGTGGGAAAGAATACAGGTTACAGATCCTAAACTGTTTTATCTGGTGCGCTCCTTTCTTTCCTGTTTACAGGAAACAGGTTTATTCTGGCTTATGGTTTAATGGGATACTTTCCATTTCGTGGGGAAGCCTAAGCAGCAAGAGTGAAGCAACTACTCTCACTGTACCCACTGTTAGAAACAGAGAGTGAGAGATGCATGCGCTCAGCTAGTTTTCTCCTTTTTATGCAATTCAGGACCCCAGTCACGGGACAGTGTCACCCAGTACAAGGTGCACTGTCTCCACCTCAGCTAACCTAATTTAATAATCCCTCACAGGCATGCTCAGAGACTGACCTGATAAAGATAATCCCTCACAGGCACAGCCAGAGGCATACTTTACACTTTCATGAAACCCAATTTTTCTTTTTTTCAATGTCTTTGGTGTCACATCCAAGAAGATGCAATGTAATAAAGTTAATGCCCAATGTTTCCTTTTTAATGGTTTCCTAGTATTAGGCCTTTGATCCACTTGGTTTTTGTATGTAGTGTTAGAGAAAGGTCTAGCTTCATTGTTTTATAAGTGATATCTCCCATTGCCATCTGCTGAAGATTGTTTTTTTCCTGTTGAATGACCTTAGCACCCTTGTTAAAAATCACCTGAGGTGCTGGCAGACGGTTCAGTGGGTAAAAGTGCTCGACACTAAGCCTGATGATGGCCTGAGTTCAATGCTCAGAACTCACACAGCTGAAGGCTGTCTCCTTCCTCAACTGACCTCCACATGTCACGTGTGTGTCATGGTATGTCCAGGCATGTGTGCACATGCACTCATAAATAGATGCACACTGGATGGATGGGATGGATGGGTGGGTGAGTGGGTGGGCGGACAGCGGACAGGTGGACAGACGGACAGATAAAATGTGATTTCAAAAAGTCATTTGAGCTGGGTGGTGGTGGTGCATGCCTTTTATTGCAGCAGAGACAGAGGACCTCTGTTAGTTCAAAGCCAGCCTGGTGTACAGAGGAGTTCCAGGCAGTCAGAAATGCAGAGAAACTTTGTCTCAAAAAAAAAAAAACTAATAAAAGCCATGTGATCATATACAGGAGGGCTTATTTCTGAGCTTTCTGTTCTGTTCCATGGATGTACAGAGTTGTCTTCATTCTAGTCCTACACAGCTCTGATTGTTCCTGCCCTGTAATAAATCCTAGAGACATTTTTAAGGTTATCATGACCATTTAAGGTTCTTATGAATTTTTAGATGAGTTTATTTCTGAAAAAGAAAATCACTAAGATTTTCATAGGGATTATATAGCAAATTTATAGATTACTTTGAGTAATCTTTTTATTTTTTTAGACTTCTTTTATGTTTTACTTTCCATTCCCAGTTCCCACTCCCTCCTCTCCTCCTGCTCTCTCCACTCTCTCTCCTCACCCCGCACCTCCCGTCTGCTCCAGAGAGAGTACAGCCTCCCCTCGGAAGTCTGGTAAACCTGTCCCATCATCTTGTTGAAGCAGGCACCTCTCCCACACCCCTGTGTCTAGGCTGAGCAAGGTATCTCTCCATATAGAATGGGCTCCACTGAGTCAGTTTGTGCATTAGAGTTAGATCTTGGACTCTTGGCCAGTGGCCTCATATATTGTCCCAGTCACACCATTGTCACCCATATTTAGGGAGTCTACTTCGGTCTCATGCAGGTTCCCCATGTGTCAGACCTGAGTCAGTGATCTCTCACTAGCTCTCATCAGCTGATTCTGTGGGTTCCCCATCATGGTCTTGACTCCTTTGTTCATATTATCACTCCTCCCTGACTTCCATTGTACTCCAGGAGCTTGGCCCATTGGTTAGTTGTGGATTTCTCCATCTGCTTCCATCTGTTTCTGGAAGAGGAGTCTAGCTTCTCTTGGGTTGTATATTATAGGCTGGGTATCTTTGCTTTATGTCTGGTATCCACTTATGAGTGAGTACATCCTATATTTGTCTTTCTGGGTCTAGGTTACCTCACTCAGGATGGTTTTTTCTAGTTCTGTCCATTTGCCTACAAATTTTAGGATGTCGTTGTTTCTTACCGCTGAGTAGTACACTTTGAGTAATCTTAATTTAAGATAATATAACTTGGAACTGATCTTTCTTTGATAGCTGTTTGTCTTGCTACTTCATTGAAGCCATTTATTAATTTTTTCTGTGTGAAAGCATTTATCTTTTGGTTTTGCACATACAAGATCATGTAACCTACAAAGAGTTTTACCTTTTCCTTACAGTTTGGATGTCTTTTATTTATTTTTCTTTACTTCATTTCTCTGGCTAGGGTTTCCACACTCCCTGGATGACTAGAAGCGTAGATAAAGCAGGCATCCTTAGTGTGCCTCACCGCTCTGAATCGTGATCCACACAGTGAGAAAGTATAAGATTGTCTTGGGCTTTCAGCGTGTGTCTCTCTACTGTCTTGTCTTGTATGGGGTGTTAAGTTTCAGGCATATATTTTTTTTCTTTCCTTCTACTTTAGATTTATTTTGTTCTTTTTCTGCTTAAGGAAACTCTTGGAAGACTGGATTCAGGCATTTTTATTTTCTAGTGTTATTATCTGAACCTCTGAACCCCTCCTAACATCGTTCACTGAGTCTGCAACAACCTCAAAAGCTGCCAGGGTATGTGGCATGGCACCCAGCTTGCGATGCTGACTCTGAGTATAGGAACTTTCCCCAGCTGCTGATTTCCCTTCTCCGAAACTGGAAGGGGGAGCTGTTTCCTAGATATTTCCAGTTATTCTTCTACATGCTGTTTTCTAAGGTAACATTCACTGCACACTGGTTTCTGTTTATTTGCACAGAAGAATCGTAAATGACGTCTGGTTTACAGAAAGGGAATACATAAAGGCATGTTAAATACCACAGAGAAAACCTGTACTCTGTTGTTTTAGAAAAGAAAGAGACGTGTTTCTTACCATCTGCAGTTTCCAGCACGTTCCTGCCGTGCCCCCGGGGAACGCCTCTCACAGACGCCACCTGTGGACGCTCGTAGTGTGAGTGCTCTGCGAGGCCGGTGGTGACATCGGGAGGGGCAGAGTGCAGATCTGACACATGAAAAACATACCCAAACGACAGTGATTAGTTCAACAAGCATTAAGTGTTTATCCGAACCGGTCAGTCGAAAGTTTCACTGTCTGAACTCTAAGCAAGGGATTAATTATGGCATCCTGAAAGTTTTGTTTTCCCGGCTTAACAAAGGCCTGCAGGACCCTATACATCCCGACAGGTACTATGCAGAAATGATTGTGTGTGTTGGGAGGTGGCTCAATTCAACTCCTTAAAAGACAGACCTATACCTGCCTCAACGAGATGATGGGACAGGTTTAGTAGACTTCCTAGGGGAGGCATTACCCTCTCCAAGAAGCAGATGGGAGGTGGGGGAGGAAAGTGGGGGGGAGTGGGACGGAAGGAGGGAGGGGAACTGGGATTGGAATGTAAAAAAAATAAATTAATAAAAAAGAAAAAAAAGCCCTAAAATCACCAACTATAACTTGCCTGTTAACACAACACCCTAAGAAGTGCTTAGCTAGAGAAAGCTTCTCTCAAGAAAACAAAAAATTAATTTGAAATAAAATGCTACTAAATGCTTCTTGTCACTTTATGGAGAAGCAACCAGGCTTATAACTTCCCTGAAAGTAGGTTGGATGTTATGAAGACATCATCTTTGTGGCCAAATAATACAAGTACAAAGATTAGGGGATGGGAAGATGGCTCTGCAGTTAAGAGCATTTGTTGCTCTTGGCAAAGGACCCAGGTTCAGTTCCAAGCACCCACATGGCAGTTCACAACGGTCTGTATCTCCAGTTCGAGAGAATCCAGCACCCTCTTCTGGTCTTCTTGGGTACTACATGCTAATAAGGCATATACATAAATGCCTTATTAAAAATACTCACACACAAAAATAAGAATAAATCTTTAAAAATACAAAAACTAGTCAGGCGTTAAATAACCCTTTAATAACAGTACCTCAGTAGACAGGGACAGGCAGATCTCTCTAAGTTCAAGGCTAGCCTGGTATACATAGCAAGTTCCAGGCTAGTCAGAGTTACACGGTGAGACCCTGTGGTTGGAAAATTTTTTAAAATGAAGTATAAAAACTAAGAGATCTATATGCTAGTTTAGAAATTCTGCAATGATCCTGACACACCTATAAGTGATGTAAACCTACATCACTTCGGGGGCAGAGACAGAAGGGTCACAAGTTCAAGGCCAGCCTGTGTAGCATGGCATAATCCCATCTCAAGTGAATCAGATATTTTAAAAATTAAGAGACCACAATCAACTTAATGTACAACCAATTAATGCTACATTTAAGACAGAGTGCATAGGATACAATTTAAATTATTCCTTTCATTCTCTCAACATAAAAAACTTTTTGGCCAGGTGGTGGTGGCACACACCTTTAATCTCAGCACTCAGGAGATAGAGGCAGGTGGATCTCTGTGAATTCAAGGCTGGCCTGGCCTACAAAGCTACACAGAGAAACCCTGTCTCAAAAAAACAAAACAAAACAAAAAGATTTATGATTTTCATAGAACAGTACTTCGATCAGTTCCAAACACTGACTCTAAGTTAGACCTGTTGAGTCTAACGCTACGAAAGGAAAGATAGAGGAGCAACTTTTGAATGCGGAAATTGCACCACACACCAAATGCAGTCAGTTAGCGCAGTGAGCCTGTGTGCCGTGAAGGCTGGTAATCTGTGATACTTAAATCAACGTGCTGCTCACCACGGTACTCTTAACACACTGGTGTTTCATCTCTGACTGTCTATCATTTCATTAGCTTGGATAAAATTCAAAGACCCAAAAGTATAGGAAGAAAGAAAGTATGTAGGCGGTGCAGGGAGCCTTGCATAAAACATAAACTTACTATTTATAAAACAGAATATGCTTTTTGAAAAAAATCTAAAGCTTCAATGGCCGTTTTCACAAGCCCTGGAAAGGACTGTTGATGAGCATAGAAGCATTTAAAATCTGTGTCAGGAGGATCTTTCAGTTTATACAGAAACATCCCTGTGCTTCCAAACCTAGCAGAAAGAATAATGATTTTTAAAGCATATACAGAAAGAAGATAACCTATATACACAAAATTGTTTTTTTAAACAGCTACATAAAACTAAACTTTTCAAGGGGCAGTGGCGGCGCATGCCTTTAATCCCAGCACTTGGGAAGAAGAGGCAGGCAGATCGCTGAGTTTGAAGCCAGCCTGGTCTACAGAGCGAGTTCTGGGCCAGCCATGACTACACAGACAAACCCTGTTTTGGGGGGAAAAAAACAAACCTGTTTTTAAAACTATTCCTAAATCTGTGTCCAAATGTTTAATGTATTTTATTTCCTTAATCCAAAAACTGAAATTAATGCTTAAAAACACCCTTACCGAGTAAGTTCCACTTTAAAATTTTTACTTAGTACATTATTCCTATGTATATTTCCTTAGTTCCTCTATCTGGAGTGAAGCGAAATAATGGCTTTGCAGTGAGGACAGGGAAGGTACACACAACCTGAGTATCCCCTATGCCAATGACCTAGGACCTTGATATTTCAGAAATCAGACATTCATATACTTCACTAGTTAAGGCTCCTAACCGAAACCCTGAAATGTTCCAATGTGCTGACCTACATTTCAGACTGGAGATTAAGGAAGATAAACTTGTGTTTGGAAATCAAGTTAAGAGCCAACGAGATGGCTCCGTGGGCAAAAGCACCTGCCACACAAGACTTCTGACCAGAGTTCTGTTCCTGGAGCACACGGCAGCAGGAGGGAACTGACTTCCACATATGCGCTGTGGCACATGTGCATGAACGTGTGTGTGTGTGTGTGTGTGTGTGTGTGTGTGTGTGTGTGTGTGTCTGTCTGTCTGTCTGTCTGTCTGTCTGTCTGTCTGTCTGTCTGGGTGCACAGGTGGAGGCAGTTACCACCAAGTCTTACAACCGGAGTTCAAATCCCCAGAACCTACATGTCACACGCACACAAAATAAATAACTTTAAGTGTATTTAAAGTTAAAGGAATAAATAAATAACATGTAGAAATCAAGTTAACTGTGCTCTTCAACTACTCAATGGTGCATCAAAGCTACATTTGCAGTAAGGTCGTGGGATCCAAGCTGAGATTTTTTTTTTTGACACTGAGGAGAATCAATCACAAAACATCTACGCTAGGCCAAGGAAGTAAGAAAGGGAGGGGACTCTCACAGCCCAGCTGCGGGAGACAGGATGGATCATCTGCCAACGCCCGCAGTGAAGTGGCGTTGCTCTTCAGAGAATGAACACACCTAACACCACACACACCAGAGCATTCTCGTGAAAACACCCATAAGCATAAGCACTGGAGCCCTGAGGGTCGCTGATCGAATGCTGTGAGCTATGGCTAGCCAGGCATGCTAAATGTGACCAAGAAGTAACAGTGCGGCAGTGACGAGCCCCTAAAGCAGTGTAGAAGGAGCTTCGCACAGCAGAGACGAGGTAACTGGACATGACTCAGTGGGTAAGAGAGCATGATGGGCAAGCATGAGGGCCTGAGTTCGGATCCCAGGACCCATGTAAAAAGCAGGGATGTGCGTGACTATAATCCCAGCAATGTGTGGGCTGGTTCTTGCTGGCAATGGCCTAATGCCAGGGTTTAGTGAGAGACCCTCTCTCAAGGGAAAAGGGCAGATAGAGCAGGATAGTCAGCGTTCTGGTCTGGCCTCCCCACATGCCTGCAGAGGTGTATGTGCGCCCACGCACAGGTACGGCAAGCATGCGTGAGCGTGTGCCCGTGCACGCACACGGCTAAGTGAATAAATAAGTGGGAAACAAAAGCAACACAAAAGCCTCCATATAAACAGGAAAGCACAGCGCTGGCTGCCTTCCTGCCCCAGACTGTCCAATTCCTTGAGGAAAGGTAGGCCGCAGCCACCAGCCACACAGGAAACGGCGCCACAGCCACCCTGCAGGCAGCTGCTTTGTTAATGCCTACCTACTCTTTCTGCCACTATTCATGTGACTGCTCTGTGAGCACGAAGCACGGTGTGCAGAGGAGCCACAAGTTTCCACCTGACACACATAAAACACATGTTCAGCAACAGACAGGAATCGTACAGGGACCCAAACAAATAAAAATCCAGGAGCTGTACTGACAGCGCCACAGAGGGTGTTGAGAACCACGGGCCACCAGAAGAAACATCGTTTTTTTTTTTTAGATTTTATTTATTACATATACACCAGATTGAATTATAGATGGTTGTCAGCCACCATGTGGTTGCTGGGAATTGAACTCAAGACCTCTGGAAGAGCAGTCAGTGCTCTTAACCTCTGAGCCATCTCTCCAGCCCCCAGAAGAAACATCTTAATCCAGCCAGCACACCAAGCTTGACCTGAAAAGGACTCGGACCATGGTCCCAGCACCATCTACGGTGGCTTGCTCCACCTTACGGCTCTACCGACCAGTCCGGACACACCGCAGGTGCTCACCAACCACGCCAGGTCCAGCAGACCAGGGGCACTGACAACACTGGGACCAGCACCCCTCCCCACTAAGCAGTGTGCGATCTCAGCAAGCTACACACACTCATTTTAGTATCATTATTATTGTTATCACCCTCTTTCTTCACGTAGGAAAAGGAGGGACGGGATGAGTCTCTAATATGGACTACATTTTAAGGTACCAGGGCGTGAATATCTGTGGGCTTCGCATACAGCTGATCGCACAGCTGCTGCTTCTACGCAGGGCTTCAAATGGCTCAAGGCGGCACTTCTTTCTTTCTAAGATTACTGTCATGCAAGAGCTCATGACTGAGAAGACTCCTGCATCTTTAAGACTGGCTTTGGCATCTTGATTTTGGAAAGAGGACTGTCTGCAGGAAGAAAGGCCAGACCAAAACTATAGCTTCAGCCACCATCTCAGGACCCGAGCAAAGGGACAACACGTGCGCCTGATAGACACATATGCAAAAAGCCACAGGAGGGACAGTGACTAGAGAGCTAGGCCCAGGGTGGCCGTCACAAGCACCCGAGAAAAGGGAAGGACAGCAGGACGTCAAGAGAAGAGCATGTCACTGAGGACTGGGCCACCCACCAGCCTGGAACTGCCAGGCCACGGAACTACAAGATTGCTTCTGTCCCTAAAAGACACCTTTCAGATAAGAAAGAGGTGGTCTGGATGGAGACGAAAACTTAGCAACAGAGCCATTCTGTTCAACAAAATCTGGACGCCAAACCATCCAGGTGGGACCCTGTCATGTCAAATGGGACTAGTAAAAGCTTAAAAACCAGCTGATATCTCAGGCAGACAAGGCACCACGTGACATCTGGCTCATGACCTCAGTCACTTGACAGTAGTACTCTGTCCCGGACACTCCTGACCCTTCCCGATCGGCGGGACTAGGCAGCTGTTACTGACCTATGTGGGTGTGGGCCGCGAGGCCCGCGAGCGCAGTGGCGGCACTAGGAGCAGCAGCAGGTTTCCCTCCCGGGTGGGATGAGGTGGAAGACGCAGAGGATGAAGTGGACGAGCCCTGAATGGCCCTGTCAAGCCAGGGCTCGATGCTGGAATGGCTCTGGAGCAGAGTGGAGGTGAGTCGCCCAGGTCGCCGTAAAGAGCCCTCATCTTCTGAGGCGGATGACGTGTCTGTGGTTAAAATAACGATGACAAGCATGATGTAGGGATGGGTCAAGAGAGGGAGAGGGCCTCTCACTTGTCTCCAGGCCTGAAGCACAGCTCTACCCTACATGGCCAGTGGGCACCTCGAAGGCCACCGTCAGAAGGGCACATAAGAAGTCCTACTTTTGGGAAGTGATCCCATGAGTGTCACGGTCACCACAGAGGCCTTGGCCACAGTATACCACCTGCTAGGAATGAAAACGGCCCTCTGTCCCCTAAAGCTAGGAAACACCAACTGTGATGTGCGTGCCCTGTGAGGGTCCAGCATGCACTGCTGCCCAGCCACACGTCCTGACACCGCATCCACACATCGGCACAGCACAGCCGCAGCCGGCACCTCATGTCCTAGCCCATGTGCGAACGTCGCAGCACTGTGGGTGTTATGGGAGACTATGGCCCTGTCTACATCTACATTCATAAGGAAAACGGGAGAAGAAACTCTAGGAAGGTTCTTTCTCAACATAATTGCTTTGGCTTAAAAAAAAACTATTTGTGAACTAAGCTTCCATCAAGTATGCACGCTGGCATGTTATTATAGTCATTAAAACGTTTTAACATTGGATAGGGTCTATAGTGCTATTAGCAGAGACAGTGATGTGGCAATAATTTCTAAAGACTTCTTCCAATAAGGTTTTCTAGGAAGAAGCACCTGCCGAGCTGTCAGGTCACCTTGCAAATCTTGTACATTCCAGTCTTCACCATTTTAGTAATTCCAAACGCATCAAGCCTCAATGATTGTTAACATATTCTGACTTTGCAACATGAGGGACAGCTGTGGAAATGCATGGGTGAAGCCACCAGATATCAGCACCTCAGTCTGGCTTAGCAGGATGTTAGAGAGAAACCTACACACTTTCATTTCCAGAGGCAACCACGGATGATAAAATATACCCGACCCTCCAAATAAGCATCTTAGATGTCCCCAGGGAGACGTGGCTAGGAGGTCAGCGGCATGACAGACAAAGGGAATGAACTCGAGTAAGTTGAAAATTCAGTTCCAGAAGTTTGCACTCCACTAAGTGCCCCTTTTAGGTTGATCTCTTTACTAAAAGGTATAAATAGCATCTTAGTTTTTTTTAAAAAGTAAAATCCATACAAAAAAAATCCCACTACAACACAAATATTCACCTGGATAAGAAAAATTCCAAGCATACTATAGATTCTTAGGTAAAGAATATGCACATATGTAAACAATTTTAATTTCTAAATTTCTCAAACCTGTATTATAGGCTACAAGGATACTCCAATTCAATAAAAATAAATGCTATACCACCAGGCCTATGACACACTCATAAAATCTGTCCTGAAGCCATTTATCGATACCTGGAGGAGTGTAGGTTTCCACGGATGAATGCACAAGGACAGACCGTCTTTTTGAAGGCATGGGCATCTTCCTCTCTTTGTACTTGGCCAAAGCGGCTTGCACGGCTTCTGTGTGGACATCTGCACAGGAATAACAGTAGCGGTAGGTGTTTTACCACACTGGTTATGATTATACCGGTTATAACTGATTCATATGTATGCTCTGACCACTCACTCACCCTTATGCCTCACATTCTCTCTAGACATTCTTTGTTGAGGACTCAACTTTTGAGCTTGATAAATACTCCCAGTAATAAACTAAAAATAAGAAGCTGTGGACCCTGAGAGGCTCACTGGCCAGCCATTCTAGCTAATCAGTAGGTTCACAAAACAAAACAACAAAATCAAGTAGACATATTTTGAAAACAACAGCCTGGAAATCAATGTCAGCATCTCAAATGTCAGTGAGTTCCCACTAAGGATGTTTCAATAATTATGCAGCATATGCAGTAATCAATTCATCTGTTATTTTAAAAAATTAAGTGTACTGTGATTACGAAAGATGGCCGCCGGGCGGTGGTGGCGCATGCCTTTAATCCCAGCACTCGGGAGGCAGAGGCAGGCGGATCTCTGTGAGTTCGAGGCCGGGCTGGACCGATAGCCTCCAAAAACAATACAGAGAAACCCTGTCTCATAAAAACCAAAAAAAAAAAAAAAAAAAAAGATGGCCAACATCAACCTCTGGTCTCCACATGTATGCACACCTGAACACACACATGCACAGGTCAGTTAACATATATGTATAACTCAGTTGGTAGAATGCTTGCATAACATGTATGAATCCCTGGGTTCCAACCCCAGTACACATAAATGGGACATTTTGGTATATGGCCATGTTCTTAGTCCCCAAAATGGAAACAAAAGGATCAGGAGTTAAAGGTCGTATACTAATACCAATACATAGTAAGTTCCAGGCCAGCTTGGGCTACATGAGATTGAAAACTTGTCTCAAAATAAAGGGGGAATGGGGACAAGATGGCTCAGCAAGTCAAGGTACTTATTACCACCTGACAAGCTAAGTGTGATTCCTAGAACTTACAAAGTGGAAGAAAAACCAGCTCCTGCAAGTTCTCTGCCCTCCATGTGTGAACCATGGCACACTGGTATGCATACACTCACACACATACACACACTCAAAATAAATAAATGAGCATTGTCGAATGGTGGGAAGATCTAATTACAAGGAAATTTAAGTTACACCATTTTTCCCTGGCTGAGAAGTAGATTCAAACAGCAAGCATGCTGTACCGGCAGGCAGGAGGGGAAGGATCCTCTCAGAGAAACGCTTAGTCAGAAAAGGGCTTACACGGCAAGCACAAGGACCCAAGTTTGACCCCAGAACTCAGTTTAAAAACATCTAGGTGCACTTGTAATCCCAACGCAGGCTTACTGGGCTCTTTGGGCAGCCAGGATAGCCTACCCAAGCTTAAAGTTAAAAAAAAAAAAAGAGTAGATGGCACCTGCTTGTACATGCATACCTGCACACATACGTGAACACACACACACACGCATGCATGCACGCACACGCACGCATGCACTCACACATGTGTGCAAGCAAGCAACCTCTAAGGCAATCATTATGTACAAAAAGAGAGACACAAAACAAACAGAGCCAGGTGTAATGACTCATGCCTTTGATCCCAGTACTCTTGAGGCAGAGGCAGACAGATCTCTGTGAGTTGGAGGCCAGCCTAGTCTACAGAGTAAGTTCCTTGACAGCCAAGAAGGATGCACAGAGAAACCCTGTCTCAAAAAACAAAAACTATTAAAACAACAACAACAACAAAAAACAAAGTATATGAAGGTTTCACTTTCATAAACAATATAATGATGTTAATTATCACTCAGGTGAAAAATAATTGTTTTTTGTGTCCCGAGTGCTGGGATTAAAGATTTGTGCCACCACCCTCAACTGAAAAATAACTACTTCTTTGGTGGACATTCTAGCAAAGAAAAGCCAACCAAAAGCCTCAGTAGTCAGAACAGAGTGTCCATCTGCCTGCTGCAACCCCAACTCCTACTCCCGCACTTCCAGAGCTATGAACCTACCTGACCGGAAGCGCTCATCCCTTGAGTTGGTAGCCCGAGACTTCTGTGGTTTGGGTGCAGCTGCTGTCATCAAGGGCCCAGGAATTCTATTTTCTGTTTGCAGACAGGGGTCTACTCCTGAAACACAGTTTTACACCTTGTGTAAACAATTTGCTTTTCCATATAACCAGCTCCGTGTAAAACAATGTGCTTTTCTCTTCTGTGGCCATAGCGTACATGCTGTACCACTCTTCGTATGGCTCTTAAAGCACAAAAGAGTCTCTGGCTTGGGATTAAGGGCCGTGAACATGGGCCAGGGCAATGTCCACATCCAGGTTACCCTCTCCCCCCACCACTAGACCTAGCCTAGCCTCTAGCTCATAATCATAATGACGACTACACCCTCAGGGTGTCCTTGGCAACATGGCACCGTCGGTTCAAGTCTGCTCTGAGTCACAGATCTCCTAGAGCGGGTTCCTGCATTTATGGCTGCTCCATAAATCTAAAGTGGCCTGTGCTGCTTGTTGCCACTGTCACAGTCCAGTGTCATCAAACTCTAAGTGAGAAGCTGCCCTTAAACACAAAGAAAACGTGGAGAGGTAGAGAATAATACTGAACCACGTCAGTGCATGGAATGGTCCAAGGCCAGCAGGCTGGTCTAATCAGCACCTCTGTTGGTGCTGTCTTCAAATCTGGGATGGAGAGAGTGCACGTCACCTACTGTCTACACATCCTCAGCCAGCCCCTGGCTCACGGTTATAGCCCCCTGACCAGATACAAGACAGGATACAAGACAGTGAGAAATAGCAGGGTACAAATAGCATGGTCACTAAACAAAGTCTCTAGTATTGATCCTATCCTAATCTGCTAACGTCTCTGGACAGCACAGAGCAAACCTTTTAGTTGAGACTCGGTAAGAATGAGCTTGATGTCGTCAGTCTTTGTTTGAAAATTACTTAGAAGCCTCGCCAGAAGAGGGTCCAGTCTCACTGGCTCCTCCAGTCTAGACCACACCCCCAATACAAGCAGAGTGTATCTGACTGCACCCTGGGTCAGTGTCCCTCACAGGAACAGAGTGACAGAAGTGGTACTACCTGACTTCTAGGGCTGGTCACATGAAACAACAACTCTTTCTTCTTGGCTCAGCTATGCCCATGAGGTCCAATGTGCTGATCCCCACATCAAAAGAGTCAGGCAAGAAAACAGGAGAGCCAGGTAGGTGAGGGGGACCTCCAGCCCAAAAGCCAACGATGGGGCCCTCATAGGTCACTTACTCAGACACCTACTCAGACTCAGCTGGCCCAACTGCAGGTCTATGAGCACAACAGATCTGTGGTGTTGTCTGGTGTGGCTGGTTACATACACACATACACACACACACACAGAAGCACATACATACACATGCACACACACAAACAAACACACATACACACACAGAGGCACATACATACACATGCACACACACACAAACATATACACACACAGAGGCACATATACATGCCCACACACACAGACACACATACATGCGCTCACTTGCACACACACACACACACACAAACACGTATGCACGCACATATACACATATATGACAACACTGAACAGAGTAGCTCACTAGGCTAAAAAAACTACTTCAAAGTTTCACTAAAGAACATTTTGCCTCAGGGTGTAAGGATTATAAAGTGGTACACTGTATAGTAGCCTATGTGTACATTCCAAAACACGGTAACTTTATCCTTTAGATAGATAAGATCTTCATCAAAGACAACACAAACTGATCTGAAATTACTGGATAAAGAGGAAGTTTTTTGTTTGATTGTTTTTCTTTTTTTGAGACAAGATTTCTCAGTCCTAGCTGTCCTGGAATTTGCTCTGTAGACCAGGCTGGCCTTGAACTCACAGAGATCAGCCTGCCTCTGCCTCCCAAATTCTGGGATTAAAAGCTTGTGCCACCACTGCCTGGCTTGTTTTGTTGTTGTTGTTTCGAGACAGGGTCTCACTGTGGATCCCTAACCAGTCTGGAATGTGCTATGTAGAGCAGGCTGGTCTTGAACTCATAGAACTCACAAAGGCCCACCAGCCTCTGCCTTCTAAGTAGTAGGACTAAAGGCCTTAGGCATCATACCGGTCTTAAGTTTGCTTTGTTTTATATTGTGTATATGTGGAGCAGGGGTGAGTGCCCATGGAGGCCAGAAGAAGGCGTCAGATCTCCCCGGGGCTGCAGTAATAAGGGGTTGTGAGCTCCCTGACGCGGGTTCTGGAATGGAGCTCTCGTCCTCTGCAACAGCAGGACACACTCTTATTTGCTGAGCCATCTCTCCAGTTGAAACATGATACACTTTTAATTTTAGCAGGTAGGAAGAGATAACTTTCCAGCAAGGCTACAGTGATTCACACTCCTACAAGCAACACATGGAAGTGCTATATCCTCACACATTTCTGGGCACTGAGTTTAGAGAAAGCTTAAGAACTCTTTCATCCTAAGAGGATAGTTCACTTTAATTTGCATTTCCGCATCTACTAAAGTTGAATGTGACTTAGTGTTTATTACCCATTTATGTTTCCTGTTCTTTGAATTTTTTCTTCCACTTAAGAAATTTATGTTTTTTCATATGTTTGGATATTGGTTATTTCTTCCAAATATATTTTATGATCCCATTATAGGTTCTGTATTTTTCTCGCTAAGTGAATTAGTATTTTACAATGTATTTTCATCTTAAATGAATTTTTCATATTTCAAAACGGAACTGTTGAAAGATAAAAGCTACTTATTATCACATATTCTCTAAAGTTACAATAGCAATAAAACCAAAAACTCTTACCAATTCCGATAGCTAACTAAGCAGCCTTCCAAACACACAGTAATACCCTGTCTACATATATCACTGCCTTTTATTCTCTAGTATTAACCCTGTTTTGTTTCCGAATCTCCTGGTATCAATGTAATCAACAAAGCTATGTGGTATGAGGGGAAAACCAGAGGCTTCTATACCTTTGCTAGGGCCAGAAACAGCAAGATAGGTGACTGTTCTGCTTAATGGTTGGTGGTGACTTTAGGAAAAGAAATAGGCTTTAAGATGTTTTAACCTTCAATCCCAATTTTAGTTTGGCTTGTTTTTGTTTGTTTGTTTGTTTTTTGAGACAGGGTCTCTCTATTATGGAGATGTGACTGGCCTGGAACTCACTATGTATACCAGACTGGCCTGGAACTCACAGATCTCTACCTCCCAAATGCTGGGATTAAAGGTGTGTGCCATCACACCCGCAATTTTAGTTTTCGTTTTGAATGAACAAATGCCAATATATAACCAGCATCTTCAACATCCTTTTTCTGTTATTTATAAATATACCAATACAGGTAGTATAAAGCACATGCAGTTTAAGAAGTTTTGCATAGGGGAAAATGTAGCCACTGCACAATTTAAGAACTAAAGCATTGGGGTGGAGAGATGGCTCGGTGGTTACCAGTACTTGCTGCTCTTTACAGAGAACAGGAATTTAGTTTCCAGAACCCATGTGACACTGCACAACCACCTGTAACTCCAGTTCTACGAGACGTGACACTGGCTTCTGACCTCCATGGGCATGCACATGGTGCACTAGCACACACACAACGCATCAGTAAAACACACATGTTAAAATCATGCTTTCTGGAGAAGCAGCAGTAATAATAACAGTTAACATTTAAGCATGGGCTAACACGATGGACCAGCAAGCAAAGGTGCTTACTGCACCACACTAACAAGCTGAATTTGACCCTCAGGACCCATATAAAGAAGTCGGATGTGTTGGGACACATCTGTAATTGCAGCACTCCTATGGAGAGACAAGGCAGAAAGCAAGAACAGGAAAACCTTCTAGAAGCTCACTGGCTGGCTACTGGAGTACATGGCACAGCAGGAACGAGAGACCCTGCTTCAACAAAACGGAAGGAGAGAAGCAACTCCCGAGATTAACTAGCACATGCTTACCATGCTTGAGCGCTCTCTCTCCCTCTCTCTCTCTCTCTCTCTCTCTCTCTCTCTCTGTGTGTGTGTGTGTGTGTGTGTGTGTGTGTGTCTCCCTCAAGTTTAAAGAGAGAAAAAGAAAAAAAGCTTTCAGATAGCTGAAGATCACATGACCTACACAGGCCAATCTCACCTCTACCAGGAAATGGTGTGTTAGAAAACTCCATTTCCGCCAGGTATTGGTGGCACAACCTTTTATCCCAGCAATTGGGAGGCAGAGGCAGGGGGACCTCTGTGAGTTCGAGGCCAGCCTGGTCTACAGAGAGAGTCCCAGGACAGACTCCAAAACAATACAGAGAAACCCTGTCTCAAAAAACCAAAAACAAACAAATTAAAAAAAAAAAAGAAAGAAAGAAAAAAGAAAAATCCATTTCCATTATAGAAATTCATTTCCTTTTCTTTCTTTGACAGCCATAAGAGACTCTGGTATGGTTTTTCATGGTTTACTTATTTATTCTTATCATTACTACTCTTTTAGTTGGGGTCTTACTGTGTAGCCCTGGTTAGTCTATAACTCAATACGTAGACTAGACTGGCCTCAAACTCACAGAGATCCACCTGCCTCCGCCTCCCTAGTGTCTGGTGTGTTTTTAAAGCTCATGCTGGACACACTGCTCTGTGGTGTCCTTCCAAACCATCGTTTCACTGAGGTTCATCACCGATGATGTCTAGATGCTCTGACATTCCATGGTCTGGGTTCTGCTGAGCAAGGTTGGAGATGGGGTCATGATGGACATTCTTGTGTGCCTAAAGGAGAACTGTGGCACCATGTGACACAGAAAAATGCGCACTGACTCCCTTATGGATGTCAGGCTCTGGTTTTAATCTGAATTTCTCTGATTATCTGAGAGGTTAGGTATTATTATTGTTGTTGTTGTTATTGTTATTCTTATTGTTATTGGCTATTTCCCTGCTTTGAAATGCCCATTTAAGTCTTCACTCATTTTTCTCATCACATCAGGAAATCTGGGCTCTGGGTGGCATAGGGTAGACTCCTGACATTCGTCCCCCATGCCTCATGCTAGCCCCTAGCCAGGGAGACGGAGAGCCCGCCTTCTACTGCAGGAAGAGCCCCTAGGCAGTGCTGTCTGTACACTCTAGGGCCATTTCTTGAATCACTGTGTTAAACCATCCTCCCACAGCCTGAAGTTTTACTTTACAGTCTCTCTGGGGCACCTTTTGATTTACAGAAGAAGCTATGAAGTTTAATGTATCCCAACTTGTTAATCTTTCCTTTTATGGCTGCTGTTTTACGAGTGGCATCTCTGGCAATTTAAGAAAGCCTTCCTATCTTGAGATGGCCATACTTGCCTGTAAGATCTCCAAAGGGCTCTATAGCTTCTGCCTCCCACACTTGAACCTAACACACCTGAAGTTCACTTTGGTGTCTAATTTTATATATTTTACACAGGTACCGGTAGCTATGTCAGCCCCCTAGCTACATGCCATCTCTCCTAAACCAAGTCCATATGTGTGTATGTGTGGCCTTTCTGTCCCACTTAGCCCAGCCACCTGCCCTTACAAAGAAACCTACTCCTGGTGATGACAGTCTTGTACTGACTCAAAAACTTGCTAGACAACTCCTCCCACCCATTGCATTCCGTATCTCCTAACCTTTTGTACTGAAGACATAAATCTAAGAAGTAGGTTGTGAAATTCCACTAAAAATACTCAAAACAGCAGCTGGGTGTGATAGTACATGCCTTAATCCCAGCACTCCAGAGGTAGAGGCAGAGGCAGAGGCAGAGGCAGGGGAATCTCTGTAAATTCAAGGCCAGCCTGGTCTACAAAGTCAGTTCCAGAACAGCCAGGGCTGTTACACAGAAACAAACAAGCAGAAAAACAAAAACAAATCAAAATAACAAATATGCTAAATCTACAAATTAATGTGCAAAGAATTAAAAAAATTTACAACATATGTCCTTGTCTAGTAAGGAAATATATCAGGCCACTCTGTGACCACCAATATAGAATAAGCTGCCGGGCAGTGGTGGTGCATGCACGCCTTTAACTCCAGCACTTGGGAGGCAGAGGCAGGGGCGTCACTGTGAGTCTGAAGCCTGCCTGGCCCACAGAGTGAGTTTCAGGACCGCCAGAGGAATAACAAAGAGAAACCCTGCCTTGAAAAAAAAAATAACAAGCAAACAAAAAAAGTAAGTCCTATTTGGGAGTGAGCTCTGTATCAAGCCAGAGCTGTAAATTGTAATCTGTGCCCTTGGATTTTTATCATCTAATATATTTGACCCTTAATAAAATATGAAACATATACCCGTTTTCACAATACAAAAATCAGTTCTTATTTATTATTACTAGTTTGCAGTGTTAGGAATTGTACCCAAGATCTATCGCATGCTAGGCAAGTGTTCTACCACTAAGCCACACTCCCCAGCTGTTTATAGGACAGTATACTTGTTACTAAAACAAAAGAAGGTGCCGGCCTTACCTTGAATGAGGGGGATGTAACGAGCCAGCAGCTTCGCCCTTTTCTTTTCATATCCCTTTTGAGTGATATCACCTAAAACAACAATGGGAAAAGAGAATTTCATTACTTGTAAGGTCCCGAAAATGTGTGCATGAGGGTGTGTGTGTGTGTACACATGTACACATAGAGGTCAGAGGTCACCTTGTTTTTTGAGACAGGGTTTGTCTCTCAGTAGCCTGGAACTAACCAAGAAGGTCAGGTTGGTTGACTGGCCAGTGAGCTCCAGGGACCCCAAGGAATATGTTCTTCTCTGCCTCCCCCAGCACTGGAATTATAAGCATGTACCATGTACCACACCTGTCATTTTAATGTATGTCCCAGGGATTGAACTTGGTAACTCATGTTTGTGCAGCAAGCATTTTACCAGTGAATAAAATTCTTTCTGAACAACGACAAGAACCTGAATTTGGATCCCCAGAGCCCACTCAAAGTTCGATGGGGTGGTGCCCATCTGCAGTCCCAGCATTCCTGTGATGCAATGGGAATTGGAGACAGGAGAGTCTCTGGAAGCTCGCAGGCCGGCTATTCTTCTCTGTAGAGCTGTGAGCAACAAGAGCCCCGTCTCAAAGACCAAATGTGAGAGCTGACTGATGGGACTGACCTCTGACCCCTACACGGGCACTGTGCACCACTCCCAGACACACAGAGACTTTTTTGAATTATCATATAAAAACTATAGAGTAATGCCTTTCAAGAGGGTTGCTAGATACGTAAGCTGGGATGAACCCATACCATGGAAGGCAGTAACGGAGAAAACTACTGACGTGTAGTTTAGGCAGACCTCCTGTACAAGCTGTTGAGTGAAGGCAGCCTGACTCAAAGGCTATCTACTTTAGGGGAGTGCCTGGACCCTACCAAGAGTAAAATGACAGACTCTAGATATCCCCTATGTGGAAGGATTTGGCAATAGGGTGGGGGGAAGGGGAGTGCAGGAGGATGGGAGGGAGAGGGAACTGGGATTGACATGTAAAACAAGCTATTTAAAATTAAAATAAAAAATGATAAAAAAGGCTATCTACTATATGTACATCACTCTGCATGATGACACACCGGAGAAGATAAAAACCACAGAACCCAGACGGCAGATGCCAGCAGACAGGGAGGGCACTGTCAGAGGGGACAAGGAATCTGGTGGAAGGCTTGCATGACTTGGCTCTAGCAGTGACTACACAACTGTACTCTCCTGTCAAAAGCTTACAGAGCTGCACACTGGGAAACAGTCTTACTGTATATAAATAATACTTTAATTGTTTGAAAAGGTGATCAACATCTCCTGGAAACTGGTCAAAAGGGGGACTGAGGCTGGAGAGATGGATGAGCAGTTAAGACTGCTTCCTGCTCGCCCAGATGACCTGAGTCTGGCTCCCAGAAACCAGGTGACACAGCTCAGAACTGCCTGCAGCTCCTCTCCCAGGGATCCAACAGCCTCTTCTGACCTTCACGGGCACACACATGTGGTACACTCTCACACAGACAAATAAACACCATTTTGTATTAAGTCTTAACCAATGCAAGCCCCTGAGGTCACACCTCCAATAAGCAGAACTCCACACTGTATTTATAAGACCTACAGATGATATCTACACAAGTTCAAGTGTCAGAAACAACAGTAAAAGTGACCCATAGCCACAGTCCTCCCCAACCACAGTGCCTTAGAGGAGAACTCAGGAAATGACCCGCTGTCCCCATAAATTTCCATAAAGAAGGCAGCCAAACAAGTTAAATCCCCTTGGCAATGGAGTAGGAAATGTACTTCATATCTTGATCTTCCTGTACTACCTGGTTCCTGCACAAACATAGGCGTGTAACAGTGGATCTTCAATGTTTCTATGAAGATTTTAGACCAGAAATGTATCCTGCAACAATTCTTATTACTAGATTTTAGTACAAATGTATGCTAGTACAGTTTTCACTATTACCATTTTTGGTGGTTTTCTAGTGTTTTCTAAGCCCTCCTCCTCCATCTTCCACTTTCTTCCAAACAAAAAAGTAGAAGGCTACTGAGGGTCAAAAAATACTGCCTCTGAGTGCCCACCCAAGTATTTCCTTCAGAAGGATTCATGTTGACTAGGGGTTGTCAGGTGTGGGAACAGACTCTTTGGAGTGGCTGACATTTAGATTAAACCTCATTAAAGGTCCAGGCATACATTGATATATTCTTCTGTACAAGGAAGGCCTGTAGCCAGGGAAGGGAAGTCCTGTGGGACAGTCAGGCAGCTGCCAGAGTACGAGTTGGGCTACCACAAAGCCCTTCCCACCAGCCTGCCCTTTGTCTACAGCCTGCTGGATAACAGCCTGGGCTATCGGGCAGTCCTACATCTATATATGTACCTTTATCCATCTCACTGTCCTCATGAGGTTCTGCTGTGCCCTCACAAGCAACTGCTCTGTGGCACTTACTGTGTGCATAGTAGAATATACCCTGCCAGGTGTGGGGCGGGAGGGGATCTGTGCATGTGTGTGCACGTGTATTTCTTTCATTTATATGTTTTCACTCTACCTGAGTTGGCATTATCCCACAAATAAATCTGTTTCTCCTTTTGTTGTTGTTTTTTCTACTAAGTGCTCTGTTTTTAACACCAACCCATCCTCAATGGATGAGCAAATCTGATTCACTGCTCTGACCTTAGGATACTTGGAGAGACACCACCCCATTCTCACCCATCAGTGGGCAACATTGGGCCCTGACCACACCCACATTATCTTCTAGAAGGGCACTATCAGCTCACTAGCTACTCAAACTCCAATACTCATGATCACCAAGACTACAGAACACATGGGCTCATAGGAACTATTCTCATTGGGTTCAAGGAATACTGCATGATTTCACTTACTAAATTTTCAACCTATATACAATGTTAAAGCATAAATATTTTAAACATATGTTAAATTTTTTAACCCAAGAATATATTCAAATGTGACTAATCTAAATCAAAATTCAAAAAACTAAGACAGGTTTCACTACGCAGCCCTGGAGCTCACTATGCAGATGAGGTTGGCCTTGGACCATGTGCCTCTGCCTCCTGAATACTGGGTTATCCCCATGCCCAGCTATGGTTCTGTCTTAAATGAAGGTAACGATGGTGAAGGTACCAAAAGGCACAGAGACATCAAGCATGTCAGCTGTCTGCTTGATGCTCACCGTAAGATGAAAGCAATCTCATTTTGTCACCTGACACATAACCATCCACAGATGCTCTGACGTAACCTTAGGGATACATCCCATGAACCCACTCTACGTTACATGAATCCTGACTCAAAAATCCATTTAACACACAGATATCCAAGCACCATACCTTAGCATGGGCTTCAAGCGCAATAGCTTTCAGCAGGAAACTGTAAGAGTGTCACAAATGCTGGTCATTAGTATGGGAAAAGGATCAAATTGCAAAAGGTCTGATTGCTACTGAATTTGTATCACTTTCAAACCAACAGAAGGCTGAAGCATGCTAAGCCCAATTATTACATCAGTGATCATCTGTATTCTGTTTTCCTGCATGACCAGCTGCCATTATTTTCACATGCCCAACGTGATGAACATTGGCCCATGCATACCCATGGCACAGACACAGAGAGCATGTAGCATCTTAACAGGCTATAATAGAACCCTGGCACAAAGCTGGCACGCTAGGGAAGAGGAGACTCAAATACAAATTTTCTAAACCCAAGTTCAAGTCTCTTTCACAGAGAACAATAAAACACAAAGAGACAAACAACAGAGCCTTGTTCCCCAACCACTGCACAAAACTGGTGAGGCCCTGTCAAGAAGCAGAGAAGGCTGTTTATGCCTGAACATCCAAGCATCTGTGGGCTTTGGGAAGAATCCTGGCTACCACTGGACAGATTCCTCTGGTGGTTACAAGGCAGGTAGAGGGTCTTCCAGACTCCCAGGTAGGAACAACACACCATTAATCCTGCTTCAGCTATGGCATGAGACAGATTTCTATTCTTATTTCATACACTTCCGAACTCCATAATTTTTAACATATAACCATATGCCCTTTTGTATATAAGAATATATAGCAGATGATTTAGCAATGCTTTGGTTACACAACATGTTAGTGAAGAAAACTAGGTAAATTCTAGGTATTATTTCTGAAACTTCTTATACACATTTTTTCAAAATAAAAAGTTTTTAAAAATTGTGGAAAACTTATAGAATTAGTATTTCTTTTTAAAATTTATTTTGATTTTACGTGTATGCATGCTTGCCTGCAAGTGTGTAAGTGAGCTGTGTGTATGTGTGCTTGATGCCTTCAGAAGCCAGAAGAAGGCACTGTGTCCCCTGGAACTAGCTAAGGACATTCGTGAACCACCATGTGGGTGCTGGGAATCAAACCCAGATCTTCTGCAACAGCAGCCAACAAGTGTGCTTAACCACTGAGTCATCTGTTCAGCCCACATTTCTTCTTTCTTTTTAAAAATATGCTTGCCTTATGATGTGGAAGATTTAGTTTCTAGAAGATACTTAAGCTATAAATGCAATTTCTTCAATAGCTTTGGGGATTAATGGAGTTATCTGCTTCATTTCACTGAGTCTGAGCAGTCACTGGCTATCAGAAATGGGTTTGTTTCACCAAAGCTAGTGAACATTCACAGAGTTCTGTAGCACAAAGAACCTCTTAACACTTGGGTCCACAGCAACACTGCCTCTTTCATCCCCAATCTTGGTAAGTGGTGTCTTTGGTATAACTACACCATAGAAAATGACTCAGCAATAAAAAGGAATGAATTACAGACAGCTTATATATGTAGGTAGATAAGTAGGTAGGTAGGAAGGTAGAAGATAGATAGATAGATAGATATTTCTAAAATATTATACCAAATGAAAGAAGCTATTTTCAAAAAGGCATATTTTTGTGACACTATAAAGAAAAATATACAGACAGACAAAACATCCATAGATGCAGGTTTTTTGGACTAGTAGATGGGACAGTAAAGGGTGGCCTGAGGGCTGTTTCCAAACACAAGGCTCTAAATATAAAGTCACAGAAGCCACCGAGCTGCGCAGTTTACAGCCGCCACTAAAAAGT